GAATTGTGGCATTAAAACGTGAAATACAAGTAAATAAATATACTACAGACACAGGGAACCCTAGCTACACTTTTGTATGCCTTTTTTGAAAACATTGATTTTAATGTAATTCTTTGCACGAATGTAACCAAAGATGTTTTGAAGTATCATAAAATTGTCATAAAAGGATTTTTTTTAAACGGTATACGTATAATGGATGAAATTATAAGTTATAAGATGTGCGCAGTAAAAGTGCGCAATGCAAAACTGCGGAATTACCTTAAACACGTTCTCCGACTGATTGTGATTTGTTTATTAGACGAGCTTTTGAACCACAAATGGGGCAAAGTGGACAACGTGCGATATTATATTACAAAAAGTATGTTGCTCTATTTAAGTCTGATCATATAACGGTATGGAGGGGCCCTCAACTCAAGATTACACACAAACATAGCCACAAATAAAAACATCAACTAATAGCAGGTTTCTGGCGGAGCTGGCTGAACCTTCGAATGGTAGTACCAAACGTTGAAGTACACGTTGACGTGAGATAACGGTGATTTTGGCCGTGACTGCTCATTTTAAGTGGTCACTGACTAATATAGCTTGGTGCAACAATAATAGCCTCGTGTGGATATTATTAACTAAATGAAATATTTAGTGGCATTAGTTAATTATTAAACCTAGTGTTAATTATTATTAGTTAATTATTAAACCTATTAGTGACCTGATAGGTCCCCGGAGATACCAGATAGCCACGGCAACTGCAGGAACAACAACGCAAGCTATAGCAATTCCAGCTATAGCTTCACCACCTGTCATAAAACAATTGCAAAATTTTAATTAAAAAATGTCTCTCTTGGCTAGTGAAACTACACTACAGCACTTTTCATTAACAGAGTTGTGAATAGTATTTCAAAAAAATGACGAGGTCCCTGTACTTAGTGATTTAACCAAAATATATAAAATAAACTAGAAATACATGCATGCAGCATACGCTCGCATAGCTGACAATAGTGAGCTTAAGCAAGTGACGTTTTTGACAACACGGACGTCGACCGGAAGTAAAGTTGACGTTTTTCACCAATCACAGCCATTTACCCAGTCTTCTGACGTTACTCATGCCGTTCGTTCGTGTTGTCAAAAACGTCACTTGCTTAAGCTCACTATTGAACGCAGGCACATGTTGTGCGTCAAGTGCTGTCATGGCAACACAATCATTTTAGTATATAGAACGCTTTTGGCTGAAATTCGCGCTCAATATTCCAATAACTCGATTGAGAGCGGCAAAAAGCGCGAGAAAGTTTGGCCTCTTTCTTTGGAAACATTGACACTCAAGAATTTTCACAAAATGTTTCATTGTTTGAATCAGTTCTTTATCCCTCCTACTTCCTCATTAGCATTAAGTATCGAGCATGCTCGAGCATGCTTCCCAGGGCAAGCAATGAGGCGCGGGGAGAATGTCTTCTTACCACGTTCAGGCAAACTGCTGTATCATTATCATATTCAATTAGTTTGAATAGTAAAATACGTTCCACAGATAATTTATATATTTTAACATGTGTAAATAGCCATGTTATAAAGCTTATACTCGTGAGTCGACTAGTTTTTGCAGTGTTTACAATAAAGTTCGGTAGAGAAGTTTGAGAAAAGCACACTTCTACAACGACAAAAGTAAAACCGATGAAATGGACCCTGGCCACTTTAAAATACGGTACAATTTCCAGGATAGCTGGATACTAATACCAGTGCAAAACAAATGAAAAAATCAAATAAGAAAACATAAACAGAGTCAGACCACAACACAATAACTATAGTCTATTGTCAGGGGCGTCGCTAGACCTCTTTGCATGGGGGGGGGGGTAAGTTAATTTTGCCGGATTATCAAGGAAAGGGGGGGGGGCGTCGCAAATTATTTTCCGGATGTAGTGTCTAGCATAATTAACATAATAAACATTAATTATGGACCACGAGGAATGTTCTGTTAGAGATTATTAAAGAAAGCATAGATAACAATGTTATAGACAACATTATATTGGCGACGAGGATCGTTTCATATACAAGTACCTCAAATGGCGACTAGCTTACCAGAATTTGCTTCTTTTGACGCCGAAAATCGGGAAAATATCGAAATTCGATGGCAACGATGGTTCATGCGATTCGAAAATCTACTGATTGCACTCGATATAAAAGACAAGAAAAGAAAACGAGCGTTATTATTATACTACATCGGTGAAAGTACTCTAAATATCTTTGAAACACTGCCCGAGACAGGCACAGAAGACGACTATGACGAAGCGTGTCAAGCTTTAAATGAACACTTTAAACCTCGCAAGAATACATCGTTTGAAATATTCAAGTTCAGGAAAACAAACCAACTTGTTGACGAAACTCTCGATCAATACCATGTACGACTCGTCCAGAAAGCTAAGTACTGTGAATTCTCAAACTTGGATACTGAGATAAAAGCTCAAATTGATAGATACTGAGATAAAAGCTCAAATTGAGCTAGGGACCAATTCCAAACAACTTCGACGACATGTTTTCCGTAAACCAAAACTGACTTTGGCTGAACTCTTAGACTATGGACGGACACTTGAAACTGTTGAAGAAGATGCGAGCGGAATTGAGCAAAATATGAATGAAACACCAATGAAAGATATCCACGCCGTACGACGAAATCCGGCTGCTACAACGCCTAAGAAAATATGTTTCTTTTGTGGATTAAGCTGGCCACATGTGAATGTTTGTCCGGCAAAAGGGAAAACATGCAACCATTGTCACAAGCAAAACCATTTTGCACGATGCTGTAAATCGAAAATTTCAGCTGGACAGCGTGAAAGTAAGTTTCCTCAGAAATCCAATGAACGAAGATCCCAAGTGAAACAAATAGACGAACAAGGTACGAATTCAAGCTCAGATGAATATGTTTACACAATAAAAAAACAAACCCCTGATAGTAACAAAGTCGTTTTGACATCTATCACCACTTCACCAACAGGAGGAACTGTTAATGAAGTTAACAGTGACTGTCGAAAACGAAATTTCTACACCCATATTAAAATCAATGACATAACTATTCGTGTAAACATTGATTCTGGTGCCAGTGTACATATTATCGATAATACTAGTTTTGAGAAATTAACACGCCAGAACAACATCCACTTGATGAAAAGCAAAATAAAACTTTTTGCTTTTGCCACTAACACACCCCTCGACATCAAAGGGTATTTCGAAGCTTCAGTTGAATCAGGAACAAAAATTACCACAGCCCAATTTTATGTGATAAACACTGATGCTGGATGTCTAATAAGTGGGAACACTGCAATTGATCTTGGGTTATTAAAGCTAAACAAAATTGCATTTGTTACATCTCGACCTGAAACCCATCAACCTAAGAAAAATGCTCCAACAAATAGCAAGTCTAGACCTAAAAGATTGAGAACCTTATTTTCGAAATATGATCATTTATTCCAAGGAATCGGAAAAGTCCCAGATTACAAAGTCCATTCACACATTGATAAAACTGTCCAACCCACAATTCAAAAAGCCCGCAGAATCCCATTTACAATGAGAACCAAACTATCAGAAGAACTGCGACGTCTTGAATCATTAGATATTATTGAAAGTGTAACAAGCCCCACGTCGTGGGTATCTCCCATTGTTTGTTTCCCAAAACCCAACAATCCCGACCTAATTCGTCTTTGTGTTGACATGCGTATACCCAATAAAGCCATTTCACGGGAACGTCACCCTTCTCCCACAACTGAAGATTTAATTGAAAAACTAAATGGTGCTGCATATTTCTCAAAACTTGATCTAAGCTCTGGGGACCATCAACTAGAGTTGGATGAAGCTTCGCGTGACAACTACATTTGCAACTCATGAAGGTCTCAAAAGATATAAACGTTTGAACTTTGGCACAAATAGTGCTGCTGAGATATTTCAAAATGTCATTCAGACCACATTCCAAGATATTGACGGTTGTATAAACATAAGCGACGACATACTAGTTTTTGCCAAAACACAACATGAACATCACATGACATTAGAATCTGTTCTACAGCGTGCTAATGAAAAGAATTTAAGATTCAACGGTGACAAATGTGAATTTGATAAACCAAGCATCACGTTTTATGGTCATGTTTTCTCGAAGCAGGGTATATCCCCATGTCCTAAAAAGATCGAAGCGATCAAGTCTCTAAAACCTCCAGCGAATGTTTCTGAACTTCGTAGCTATTTAGGAATGACAACATATTGCGGCAGATTTATTCAAGATCTTGCAACACTGACTGCCCCATTACGTAAACTTACAAAGAAGGATATAAAATACGAATGGAAAGAATCACAACAACGTGCGTTTGATACATTACAAGAAAGATTGAACGAGAAAACCACTTTATCATACTTTGATCCTTCAAAAGACACCAAGCTCATTGTAGATGCCTCTCCCACTGGTCTAGCGGCAATATTAATACAAAATACCCCCAGCCAAAATGACGAAACTGTCGTTGCATATGGCAGTCGTGCTCTTACAGAAGTAGAACAAAGATATAGTCAGACAGAACGCGAGGCATTGGCAATTGTTTTTGGCTGCGAACATTTTCGTTTATTTCTCTACCGAATTCATTTCACAATCTAAATTCATTTCACAATTCATTTCACAATCAAAAGACCATAAACCATTAGTATCGATTTTTCAGAATCCAAATTCACATTGCCCTGCACGACTAGAACGCTGGCGTTTACGCCTACAGTCGTACAATTTCCAAATTCACTATTGCCCTGGCCACGATAACCCATCCGATTACATCTCAAGACACCCAATGAATACGACCTCAATGACATCACAAGACAGTGAAAACTCTGAATATTATATTCAGTTCATTGCGGAATCAACAACCCCAAAAGCAATGACCCTTCAACAAATCAGACTAGCAACACAAAATGACCCAACTTTACAACATGCTGCACACATAATACAGAAAAACTTATGGCATACGTTAGACACCACAACATTTTCCAAAGACACAGACATTGATATTCGTGAACTAAAGTTACTCCGTAATATCAAAGATTAATTAACTGTTTCTAATGATAAGAACATCATTTTACGAGACACACGCATTGTTATTCCAAAAAGCTTGCGAGCAGATGCCATACGTTTAGCCCATGTTGGCCACCAAGGCATAGTTAAAACGAAGAGCCTAATGCGAGAAAAAGTTTGGTTCCCCTTAATTGATTCACTTGTCAAATCCGCTATCGACAGCTGTATACCATGCCAAGCCACTGGACGTCCAAAACCACCACAACCTCTGTTAATGCGCGAAATACCCAAGGAGAACTTTGACACTGTATACATTGACTTTTTGGGCCCGTTACCAAGTGGAGAAACACTCTTTGTCCTAATAGATGGACGCTCCCGATATCCGGTAACAAAAATTATGAAGAAAACGGATGCTCCTCACCTAATTCCATGTTTAGACGAGATCTTTGCCACATTTGGATTACCAAAAAAAGTTATCTCGGACAATGGTCCACCGTTTCAGAGCAAAGAAATAAAGAAATTCATGGATGACAATGGCATTCAACACAAAACAATCACTCCATTATGGCCAGAAGCAAATGAAAGCGAAACTTTCATGAAACCACTGATGAAAGCCATTCGTACTGCTCATCTGCAAAAGCAAAACTGGCGCCACACCATGCAGGAATTCTTATTAAATTACAGAGCTACTCCCCATACCACAACTCAAGTTGCACCGGCCACACTCATGTTTGGTGGGAACACCCGCACAAGATTACCTCAGACTGACACTAAAACCGACAAGAATGCCCTTGATCATTCCGTCGAACAACGCGATGAAGAACAACGACAACGCATGAAAGAATACGCAGATCGACGGAGACAAAGTAAGACGACAACCATGAATATTGGTGATTATGTACTCGTAAGACAACAAAAGCACAACAAATTTACCCCGAATTTTGATCCCAAACCGCTACGAATAATAATAATAATAATAATAATTTAATATTTATATCGCGCAAATTTACATGAGAATATGATCAAATGCGCGTAACAAAGATATAGTAATAGTAATAATATTTACATATGCTAAGATAAGCGGATAAATCTATGTACAATATGCAATTTGAAAAAGATATGTTTTCAATGAAGACTTAAAGCTATTAAAATTACTATCTCGTCTGATAAAATGCGGCAAGGCATTAAAAACTGTAGGAGCTGCAAAACTAAAAGCTCTATCACCTAAAGTCTTCTTCGTATTTCTGTTATTAGCTGGCTCTATCAATAGTTCCTTATTTCTGCGCAGCTGATAGCTACTTGGTCTCATAACTGTTACCATTTCACTAATGTATGACGGCGCTATTCTATGTATTGCTTTAAAAGTCAATACAGATATCTTAAAGATTATTCTCTCCTTGACAGGCAGCCAACCAGGTGATCTTGATACGCGGAAAAGTACTGGCACTAGTTGTCAAATAGAAATCCATTTTATGATTAAAACAACTGAATATCTCCTGTAATATACATTATTTCGATTCCGAATTTTTGTCAGAGCTATAGTTCTCATAAGCAAACATAATTACAAAATTTCAACTAGTTTCATAAAGAATAACGATAGATATAATTGACTGAATACATCAAAATGGATTTCTATTCGGACAACCCTTTCTGAGCGCTGATTGGCTAAAATACGAACACGAGATCACCTGGAATGGAGCTCATATAAAACTGGAGTAATGTGATTGAAACGAGAAGCACCGGAAACCAGCCGGGCTGCCGCATTCTGTACACGTTGTAACTTATTTACAGACTTTGCTGGAAGACCATAGAGAAGGCTGTTACAATAATCCACTCTTCCCATGATAAAGGCATGGACTAAGATTTTAGTTGCGTCAACGGAGAGATATTTTCTAATTCTGCGAATATTATGTAGGTGGAAAAATGCTTGTCTACATGTATTGTTGATATGGGGTACCAAACACAGATTGCTATCAAACACAGTCCCCAAATTCCTAGCAGATGCTACCGGTGTAATGTTGACATCGCCTACAGGAAGCGAGACAATGTTCACTTTTTTTAATTGTTGCCTTGTACCGATAATCAAAAACTCAGTCTTACTATCATTCAGTTTCAATTTGTCCTTAGTCATCCACGTACGTACTGCCTTAATGCATGTCTCCATCGCTGCGATACTCTCTTCCTCACTCGCACCGTTCCCTGGTTTAAACGACAAATAAAGCTGCGTGTCATCAGCATATGCATGCGCAGTTGGTAAATGTTCTTTAATAACATCAAATAGTTTACTTGCATACATGGTAAAAAGCAGCGGTCCCAAACATGAGCCCTGAGGTACGCCACACGTTAACGGAAAAATGTCAGAGATTCCATCTTTAAATGCTATTCGCTGACATCGTCCAGATAGGTAGGATTCAAACCACTTTCGCACAGTTCCTGTAATCCCAAAAGATGTTTCCAATCGGTGAAATAAAATGCTGTGATCGACAGTATCGAACGCTGCACTAAGGTCCAGAAGAACAAGAAGGGTAACCTGCTGACAATCCATATATTCAAAAGTATGTCGTTTTGGACCTTCAGAAGGGCGGTCTCAGTACTATATCCTTGCCTGTATGCGGACTGATACTCCGGGAATAAATCATGCAACATCAAATGGTCATAGATCTGATCATAAACTGCTCGCTCAACTAGTTTAGAGATAAACTGCAAGTTACTGATCGGACGCAGATGGTTGAACAAAGCAGCTAGTCCTGGGTTTTTTAGAAGGGGTTTTACTAGAGCCTCTTTCCAATCAGTTGGAAAATATCCATTGATAAGCGAACTATTGACTAGATGAGTAATTATAGGTAGTAACAATTCCAGACAATCAATCACCAATGGCATTGGCATTGGATCCAAGTCACAGTACTTCTTGGGTGAGGCAATAACCAGAGCTCGAACTTCCTCTTCACTGTGCAAACGGAACGACTCCAGGGTAACACTACCATCAGATGGCACGCAACGATCACTGGGTACAGGAGCACATGATTCTTCATCAAGAACAGGCCGATCCACATCAGAGCGAATCTTAGAGACCTTTCGCACGAAGAACTCCCCAATATCATTACAGAGCGCAGTATTGTTGGTATAATTTGGGAAGTTTAATTCGTTCTTGGTGGTTAACAGTTTACTTGCCGCACGGAAAAGCTTACCTTGATTTTCACTGTTGTCCGAAATGAAGTCAGTGTAATATGTTTTCTTTGCTTTGTTTATTAAATAAGTCACACGATTTCTAGAAGACTTAAACTCAGTAAAGTCAGCCAGTGATTTGCTTTTCCGCCACACTCTTTCAGCCTTCCTACGTCGTCTCTTAGCTGCGTCAATATCCACATTGTACCAAGGAGCAGATGGTCTCGCCCGAAGCACTTTTGTTTTTAGTGGAGCATGTCGATCAGTCAATTTCTTGAGAGTTAAGTTGTATTCACGTGCCAAAGCGTCAATGCTGTTCTCGTCTCGCCGATATTCCGTCTCACAATAACGGGAGGTACACAGTGATGTAGCTGCCAGATCCTCCCTGAGAACATCGCGGTCCACAGACTTCAACTTCCTATAAGTTATTTTTCGATACGATATCAATGACGTTGGAGCTGCAAGATGACAGACAACAGCGGCATGGTCCGATATAAACCGATCAATGCCCGGTCTGCCATCCATAATATCATCCGAAAAACGTGTTATTATTAAGTCAAGGGTGTGGTCATTAACATGGGTAGCTTGATTCACATGCTGCCGCAATCCAACCGATTCAAGTAGATCACAAAACTTAACAGAATCAGGATCTTCAGTGGAGTCAACGTGTATGTTAAAATCGCCACAAATCAATAGCGGTTCCTTGCACAGTAACAACGGTTCTAGATGACTAAAAAACTCAGCCAAGAACACACTCACGGGTATCCTGTGTTCACTTGAATAAGGAGGTCGGTAGACAACAAGAATACGTAGTTGATGTGCAGACGATGAGTTAACCAGCCACTCAGAAAACTCAAATGATTTCTTGTTCCCTGCATCCACTTTTGTCACACCAAGAAAATCTCGATACAACAAGGCAATTCCTCCACCGCGACGCATGCCACGCACGTGATCATCCATTTCGTAACCTTCAGGACATAACTCAGCTCGTACCGCATCATCATCCCTGCCCAGCCAAGATTCCGTAATTGCAAGAATATCGGGCTTGCAATCATGCACGATGTAGTCAGCGATATCTCCGGTCTTATTCCTGACTGAGCGACTGTTGACTAGACAGAATTTAAGAGAGTTATTGTGACAGTTCGCAGATATTTGAGGCAAACAATCAATACTAATTAGATTTGTCTGCTGCGAGCGTCGAACAAAGTCAGATACGGGAGGGCGTAATGCTGTTGAATTAATTAGCCCATAATCGGGACGACTCGAAACAATGGTGCCAATACGGCGTAAACTGTTCATATTGGCATTCAAAGATACCACATTCGTGGGCCCAGGGTTAAGCTTAAAAACAAGTTCTCCCTCCAATATACAATGAAAAGAGGCAGATGTATTAGCATAATATCTACACGGACATCTGCAACGCTTGATCTTGCGTAGCGTCGAATAATATCTACACACATTACTGATAGAAAAACTCCACTCCCCACTGCCAAAAACCGCTCCCACTGCCAGGAAAATCTTATAAAATCTAGCTTGGATACCATTGTATCTTACAGCTAAGCCCGTGGTCACTCCGCAGTGCTTTAAATTGGTTAGCGACAACAAATTAAGAGAAGCAGGTTCTTGTGACAGCAATAAATGATCACATGAATATTTAATTTTGTTATTATAGTTATTATCAGTCAAGCACATCGAGCACAAGATGTCGTTTGCTTTGTCGCTTTTCATGTGCTTACACGATGAAGGTAAATCAAATCCAAGGTTAAATGAAATAGCCATGTACATTGTTACATCCATCACAGCGAACTTCGTAGGAAAAGCCAAGGAAACCACACTATGTTTCATAGGCTTCGGGATTAGCAGCGACGATTTACATTTCGATATTCGTTTAACTTGCCGATCACTCAGACAAATTTGCAAAATTGAATTATAACTGTCCAAACATTGCCCATCCTTTGCGAATCCATAAACATCTTCGATAATAAGAACTTCATAATTAATTAGATGACTCCTCTGAGCCAAAATAACTCCAAAAATAGAATAAAATATTAAAAAGCTTGAGAGCACAAAATACAAGCCGGCCATCTTTGATGACCTATCAATAGTATAATGTTACAAACTAGACAATACATGCATGCAGAAACCCTCGCCTTGCTGACAAAACCATTTTATTTTCCGAACGTGAAGTATTTTAAGTAGTTGTCATGGTAACACGATAATTTTTTAAGAATATTTTTACAAATGAAAAATCCCCCTATAAATATCACTTTTAATAACAAAATTATCAAATTCCTAAACATATATATGATAGGTATGTTATTATACGTAATATAAGCTTGAATTTAAGGTAAAATTCAACCACAAACGCTTCGCAATACGTTTTAAAATGTTCTTTTACTATAGAACTAAACTGCCTTTATCGATAAACTTTGAGTTCGAAATAAAATGATTCCAAATTCTCCCATGCAAATAACTTTGCTTAGTATAAAAAAAAGTGTAATCAATAAAGAAACACTGAAATAATACGCTGTCTTGTTTCATATTTATACACAACGATCGGCTTTTAAAGTAATTACAGTAGGTATGTTATTATACGTAATATAAGCTTCAATTTAAGGTAAAATTCAACCACGGACGCTTCGCAAAACGTTTGAAAGTGTTCTTTTAATATAGAACTAAACTGCCTTTATCGATAAACTTTGAGTTCGAAATAAAATGATTCCAATTAAATTCTCCCATGTAAATAACTTTGCTTAGTATAATAAAAAGTGTAATCAATAAAGAAACACTGAAATAATACGCTGTCTTGTTTCATATTTTATATACGCAACGATCAGCTTTTAAAGTAATTACAGCCGAGATTACAGTATATTAAAAGCAAACAATGCATCAATATTTAAAACAAACTTACCTTCGTTAACGTCGGCACCTTTACTCCCTTCTTTTAGCAATTCTCTTGCCTTTATTTCATCAAAAATCTTTTGAAATTTACAAAATCTTGCAAAAATGAAATATATTTGCAAGAAATCATCAAATCAATTTCGCTGTCGTCAATCGTCATGCAGCCGTTATAATGCCAATTTTAAATTGGACCAATCAGTGTTGGCTATTCATTACAGTCCGCTATATTATGAGATCAGTGAGGATGATCACCCACCGAAACACGCACAGTGACCCACGCCCGCGATATTTGATGAACTTTAGACTTCGCTAATGCTTCCCTTCCCCGGGTGTAAATAGCCGGGGGGAATTAGTACCCTCGCACGGCGCTTCGCGCCGTCGGCTCGGGGATAAGTCTACAGTTGTGTCACTATTGGCACTACTGTATACCTATATCAAGATTTTTGTGGCATCTCACTCGAATGAACCCATCAAATACTACTGTACCTACACTGGGAAAGATTATCTGGGTGTTAAGGCGGATTTCCACTAGGCGAAATTTTTCGACCGAAACGAAATTTCTCTTTGTCTTTTTACAATTAGTTCTGCTTGAGAGCTCATGAAACAAAGAGAAATTTCGATTCGGTCGAAAAATTTCGCCTAGTGGAAAACCGCCTTTAGGCAGAAACTAGTTTTGTCCGTTAAACGTAAATTGGGAAAGTTTTTTTGACCAATCAAATCCTTGTGTTGGAATAAATAGTGTTTTTTCCAACGTGTTTCTCCTTAGATGCAAACAACGGTAGCTTGGTTTTGTACATTCCATTTTCGGTGAATCAACACTGAAAAATGCACCCGATGGCACTTCGTTTTGTATATTTCATTTCTGGTGAATTAACACGGATGCACACCGATTACACTTTGTTTTGTACATTTCATTTCAGTGAATACACACCCAATATGAATGAAACGCGATACATTTTGAGAAAATAGTTAATATAATATAATATAATATAATATAAAATCAAACGCAATGCACTTTCTCATCAGAAAAAATGAAAATCTTCCATTAGACCCAGTTGGGAAAGCCCCTTAGCTACTTCAATTGGGAAGAGCCGTCAAACGGACAGTATATGGGCTAGCTAACACCCTGATTATAATGAGCTTTCTGTTTTTAGGATTACTATTCACTGTAATATTCACTATATAGTTCTTCCAGACGAAGAGCGTGCCGCTTAGGGCTAGCTACAGTTTACACATTTTCCAGGTTCCTACATAATATTCTTCAATCAAATTTTTTATTATTGCCCAATGTTGCCCACACATGGAACCCCAAACGTTTTTTTTAACTCTGTTCTAGATGCCGTAAAGATTTTTTACATATTTTTGTTTTATTATAGAACACAAGTGGCACCCAATTTGCCAGATGGAGTAGCTCACAAACTTGCTGCTAATTACTATTGTAACAGAGATTTACGTCGAGCTGCGGCACCACCTAGTGTCGGTTATACATCTCAGAGTCTTTTAGAATCAGGGTAAGATCATGGCTAAAAATTGTCAATTCAATTAAAAATGATAATTAAAAAAATTTTAAAAATATGCAAAAGCGGCCTCGGTTTGCCCGTCCGAGCTATACAGTTATACATGCAGTATTCATTTGTGCAAACTAATATGCATCAAACCTAATATGCGTCAAACCTATCTTTTTTCAAACCTCTTATTTTTATTATTATAAACAAGCCTGATATAGTAGTGATAGTACATTCACACTGAAAACCCGAAAATACTCGGGGAAGGTTACAACCGCGTTACAGTTATCATTGCAAGACCTCGCAATGTTCTAAATATTACGCAGTACAGTCGTAGACCTCTCTAATTTGGATACTAACGGATAGTAGAGTCTAGAGATCACCATCATGACTCCATGAACTGATATATATATATATATATATATATATATATATATATATATATATATATATATATATATATATATATATATATATATATATATATATATATATATATATATATATATATATATATATATATATATATATATATATATATATATGTAATATATATATATATATATATATATATCGAGTTTCCAATTATATATATCTTGATTGACTACTTATATGATCTACTGTATAGCTCAGCCTCTGTTATACAGGGTGTATAAAAAAAAACTGAACAGATATGAATTTGCTCTCAATTTTGCAAAACAGCTATTAGTATTTATTTTTTTATGTATATAGCTTCTTTGGGTACTTATAATGTAGAATAATGAAAAAAATCCTCGAACTCAAATTTTGTGAACCAGGGGGGGGGTGTCTCTTTTCCAACAAACTAAAAATGGCTTGCGCACAAAATTTAAAAGCTTTAATCATATTTTGAGTTAATAGATGGAAAATTTGTTGGGATTTCAATTAGTGTACAAAATTTCAGACAATTTCATTTTTTCCTAAAAAATCAGCCTTTCGCATGCTTAATTAATGCCTTTACCTAATTTGCATATTGCTGACATATGCAAATTAGGCAAATGCATTAATTAAGCATGTAAATAGCTGATTTTTAGGAAAAAAGTAAGTTTGCGTGAATAGTTAAAGGGCTTAAACTAAAGCAAATTGTCTGAAATTTTGTACAGTAATTCAAAACCCAACAAATTTTCCATCTATTAACTCCAAATATGATTAAAGCTTTTAAATTTCGTGCGCAAGTCATTGTTAGTTTGTTGGAAAAGACACACCCCCTGGTTCACAAAATTTGAGTTCGAGAAATTTTTTAAATTATTCTACATTATAAGTACCCAAAGAACTATATACATAAAAAACTGGATACTAATAGCTTTTTTGCGAAATTGAGAGCAATTTCAAATCTGTTCAGTTTTTTTTTATACACCCTGTATAGATACTGCATGTATACGGATCCATATATTACAAGTGTTTTGTTGGGTAATTGAAAACAGTATATATAGGTGCCCTACTGTACTCCCATTGACCGCTAGCCCCTAGACAGAGTAAAATAATCTGCCGTCAAGATGGTAAAATACTAAAGTAGAGGGAATTCTGGGGCAATCCGCAAGTTATTGAGTTAAATAGAATGCGCTTCCTGTAGGGTTCCAGCAGAGGGTAGAATTATGCAATATCTTGACCACGCGGTCTCCTATATGCTATGCCTATACTTTAGGCAACTGTCAAATGGTATTTTCGTGAAGCTTGAATACGGGTTTTCGATTTTGCGATCCTTAACTTCAAATGTTGTTAATATGTGCAGGCAAAACTAGACTAGATGGCAAGTGAATTTTAATTAATGTTCCAGGCAACCGATTTTCATGTTCAACTTGCCCTGATAGCAAGTGGTAAAATTACACCACTCCTATACTCATGAAAATTCCTTCCGCTCGTGCTTGGAACACCGTCGTATTGTGATACTTTCTGAAGTGAAAGCTATTTACAAACCCTAGAAAGTCCTAGAATATGCTCGAATTATATTAAACTTGACAGGAATGAATGTAATTATTGTAATTATAATAACAATGTCAAAGCATGGGTTCAGCTAAAATATTATGAAAAATGCAAATGAAATGAAATGAAATATAAACAAGGACGATATTCTTAACCTCTATTTGTTTTTTCTTGTAGTTCGCAAACAAAGGAATTAAAAAGTGAGATATTGACAGGTTTATCTCCTGGCTCTGTCTACGTCCCTCGGCCTTGAAGAGTTCGTTCAAACAAATGCACGGATGTTCGTAGCCTGGTGGTCGTGGTGGACTGTTAACGTATGATTTTGTAGGGAATACATTTTTCATGTTTATAAATTTATTAAAGTGATTTCTGCAAAATAAAAGTTACTTGTATTCATTTCATGTGCATTTCCTGCATAATTCTTGTAACAATACTTAAAGTGCCAATATCACCTGTGGGACGTTTATGGATTTGAAAAGAGCGTAAAAAATTAGTTAATAGAAAGTTAAAAAAGTTCTTTGATTTAGTGCAATACTTTCGGAGATACAGGCCTCTAAACTACCTACAGTTACTGTGTCCCAAGCTTCTATGCACAATGGACAGTTTCGAAAAAGGCCAAATTCAATAGCCGTGTATGTTTAGACCCCAGGAGACTGGGACTCAGGAACAGTCCGTTGTTTAAATGCTTATATCCTCAAAACTATTGCACTGAATCAAAAAAATCCTTTGAACTTATTAACTAACTTTTTACGCTCTTTTCAAATCCATAAAGGTCCCACAAGTGATATAGGCACTTTAAATTGATCAATGCGAAAACGCCATGCACTTTGTGAACATACCTAGCTCTTAATAGAAACACACATGGTTAGAATTTTCCTGGTTAACTTAGAAATAGCCCTGTTCGGGTTAACTTAATATTTCCTGGTTATATTTCCTGGGTATTTTATGTCACTTCCTAGTACCTACGATAGTGTGGTTAATGTAACCAGGAATCTGGATATATGCCTATATATAATGCAAATTCCTAGCCGCGTATTTCGAGTATAGATACATACATATACTTTATTTTCTCACGTTGGCCCCAGCAACCTTTCGGCTGATTTCCATGGGGGGCATGAACATAAAGTATGTACAAAATATTAAAAAAGGAGAGTTTGACAAAAAAACCCGAAAATACACTGATGTACATTGCTAAATTGCATGGCTAACGAGCCAGTTTCAACTCATTTTTGTTTCAAAATAGTTTTAAAAGAACTTAAGGAATCCCGCGCAATTTTTGCCTCGTGGGGAAGATTATTCCAATGTGAGGCTACTGAATTGAAGCACCTCTTGCCGAATTCTTTCTTCGGAATAGGAAGAGCTAAATCAGTTTCTTTATTTCTGAGATTTAAGTATTTGCTCTTTACTTATTGGAAAGAAAAACTTCTTTTAGATTGGGTGCGGTGTGGCCATTTAGAATTTTATACATAAAAATAGCTTCGTCTTACTTCTAGAGGTTTCCAACTTAAGTTCTAAGTGTGTAAGTATTTTATGAATCAGTTTTCTAAACATTCGCACCATGGCGGACGCTATAGAAATGGTATAAATGCACACCTCTCAACTTTTGTAATCTCATGCACAAATCAGCATTTAACTTTAAAGTACGCAACAAAGTCAATGAATATTGAAAATCGTCTTGTGATTGGCAAAGGCGCAACTTGCAATCTTCAACAACAACAAATTTGTCATTCAATCATGCAAACAATGTTGCGACTGATGCATGGTATTGAATGTTGCAATTTGCAGTGTTGAATATATTGATATTCTATAATGTTGAAGCTTGGGAACCACGACCTCTTGTTGACAAATTTACGTCAGCAACCTTTTAGCTCGTGTCATATCTGTCTTTTTTCACAAGAGCTGAAATATGAGCTGAAATATGTTAAAGACACGCTCGAAATGTGGCAATCAACTTGAAACAGTGCGGAATGTTATTCGATCACTGAACCTCGTAATTTGCGCGCAACTTTACATTGATATGATCAAATGCGCTTTTCATCAAGTATATACGCGCGCTTATCTAATTACGTACTTATACATATAGAGTCTAAGTTAGCCTAAACTATATTTATGTTTTTTGAAAATTGAAGAGTGGATTTAAATGTTGTTTCCCAATGTTGATTGTTGAGTGGCAAAATTGATTTTTGGCGGCGATGGAACAAATTGAAGAACAAACCAAATCCAAAACTATAGCTTTGAACGAAATTTCTGGCTGCGAGCATCATGCATGCATGCTAATGCAAAACCTTCTTTGGCACTTTGCTGTATTTTGTTGGCTCTTCGACTTCTTCAATAAAATAACCGGAAAGTAAAAAACAATCCAACAAAATCTCCTCTAATATTTTAAAAGTCTGCAGATTTTTTGAACTCATAATAAAAGATTCCGTCAACAAGCCTTAATTGTTTGATGATTCCGTCCCAGAAATGAATCGACGATGGAGGCAACTGGATGTTTTTATATTATTTTTGCTGGAACAAGCTTTATGTACTCACAAGCAAATTCAAGCATTTCCGTATGCCCGTATGCCCAGTCGGGAACCCGAAACCGTCGGAATACCAACTCAATGATGTTCCATATGAACTACCAGTTGGCATGCATGCAATATAATAGGACGAGTATATGGGATGTCAAACTAATATCGTATCGATTTGTTATACTGACAGATATAACACCATTCAGTCTTTAGCATCCACTCAGAAACCGTATGAACTATGAACACAGCATCTTTAATATAACATGACCAATCATGCATACCATTGCCGTGGAGATGATGATTGTATTCGCACTAGGAAGACTTATATGTTGATGTTTATCATTGCAGTGCATTGGCATGCATGTATTTTATTTTCGATGATTATAATTTTGAACTTGCAGTTACTTCGATAGGCTCTTGAGTCTTGTCCATTCAAATTAGTGATCCTATGTTGAAATTTGTGATATTTACGCTTTTGATGCTTTGTTCGTCAGTTTTACGATAACTGCATGAATGTCACATATGTTTTATGGTCAAACTTTTCTAGGTCCATTGTGTATATATATGTTGCATACCCCTATATTAAGCACTTGTCTTAATTTGCCTTCAAGAGCTAAGAATTGATTCATGATTACGTTTAGCCTCTGTGATAGCTTGATATTAAGGCAAACATTGTAAGATCTGCCCTATTACGCGAGTGTGTGAACAGCCAGCAATTCGACATACGTATACGGAAACCTCTAAATAAACTTTACAACTTTGTGGGAATATGTCAAGCTGTTACCATCAAAAGATGTCCTTCTAAGCTTCTGTGTTTTTGTATTGTACAAATACAACAATATACTCAAAGCAAGAGATATTGTGTTCACGCCCACTTGACTATGTACATATTTACAAAGCCGTGGGAGACGACCAAATTCTATTCCAATCATTTAATAGCTTGCAACAGTTGCTAAAGCTTTTGGGATATTTGCCTGCTTGTACGTATGTTAGGATGTTCAATTCCGTTGCAATCAGTTGTTCCCAGACACTGGTGCTTAAGCTGAAATTACGTCATGATGCAATTATTTTAAATTAAATAGCTGATTATCTTCATCGCACCATGTGCATAAAATAACAAACCACCCTCCTTGTACTGAAGACTGCTTGATAGATATGGAAATTCGTATGACCCGTCGTGCACTTCCTACCACATTATGTTACGGGTTTAAATATTACTTTTCCTCAAACAACATGCAAGCATTCGCGAGTACAGTCCAGTGTCTTAACAGTTATTACTTTCACAGCTGTTATTAGATCAAGTTGTGATTTCATAATGGACTTTAATATGCCGACTGCCATTTTCCACATGCCTATAGCGAACTTCAATAATTGACATGTCAAAAATTCAAAGCCACGAGTTATTTTAAGAGACAAAGCCAGCTTTTCCTATACGTCTGGAAGTCGTTTGTATTTTTCGGAATAAAGATTTTTTAGTCTGATCATTTAATCCTATTAACCGCGTGATTGATTATAAATAAGGTATTATTATAAACCCATAATTTAGTTAACCAATTGCCATCTTTTGTGGACCAAAACAAGCCTCAATTTTTTCTTAGTTAATTAATACGACTGCATTTTTAAAATACCATTGACTCTGTGTGCAGACAGTTTGCAGTTAATTATGTCATAAAACTGATATACTATACGGTCAAGAAGTAAGTAGGAATATTGATAAATGTCAAATGATTAAGAAAAAAATGGGTTGAATGTGTAATTTAGTTTGAATAGATAAATACGATTTGACCGATGGATTGACTATGATCTGTAGTTAAGTGTACCTTCTAACACCATGAGTTTCTCACCCAAATTACTAAGTACACGTCATTTACGCACTATATGTTGAAACATTTATTTATACTAATTAAAATTTCCAAAGTTAATTGTTTCACAACCAGTTTGTTATATATAACAGTGTATTTAAAAGTGCACTACAGTATTACTCGATTATGAATATAATGAAATCCAAGTCTAAATTTTGTGGTAATATGTAAATGATATATTTATATAACCGGTTCCTAAATATTCTAGTTAAGAAATCCACTATATATGTCCATTTTTATGATTTTTTTATTATAGCTATGTCGATCTAGACGATAACAGACCGGTCGCCGCATTCCATAGCTATATGTTTTTTATGAATAAGAGATTTAGCAGCTTAAGTTAACTGCAGACATTGACATTCTCAACCTGTCATCTGAAAAGAAATGCGAAATTGTGGATTTCCTAAGTGGATTAGTAGAACAATTGTAGATAAGCGAGTGCTATATATTCCTCTATTTACATTAAGTTCTTTGTCAATTTATATATATAATCATTAGTTACATCGTGTTTATTCACGTGATTACACAGCCTACTAATAATATATGTGAGTTGCATGCTCAGGGCACCTGCTTGGTATTCTGTCAGTAAGCCCTTTAAGCAATCACGCTATGCTATAGAAGACCACGATTTTGGTGCTGCTACATGTTGTGTAATAAATGCCAAATACAGAAATTACATAAACGAACTCACGTATATTATGCGAATGACTGTTTTTTGTCATTGTACAAGGATTTAAACACCAATTAGGCTGACTTAGCAACATTGAATATGAAGTGTCGATGTCGTAATATGGTTACAATTAGAGAATTTTCGTTTACTCATACGTGTCATGACCTCTCATCCTACTCAGTAATTGTTATTGTTTAAAACCAAGTATTTCCTCATTTTCGAGCGGTTAGCATAAATCCATTGGCGTTATTGTTTTCCCCGTTGTCTTCATTATTTGCAATTGAGATATGTTCTGATCGATTGCCATTGGTCGACTCTCTAGTAAATTGCACCCTGGACCTATATCGTACGATAGGGTTCCCTTTAGAGAAGATATATTGTACACAAGTTACAGCGCTTTCCCGGTACAGATGGCTCATAGCAATTAACACGATAGGATTCATAACACTAGCACCAAAGAAGAGGCAAGTTAGAACAGCCATTGTGTATGCATGCTCCTTTGGGGAGGGAGCAATAAGTCGATAGTTTGCCACAATTGCATATGTGACAAGAGGTAGATTACATAGCCAGTATACCACAACTAGGACTAAAGCAATACGAGAAACACTGCGTGTCTGCTTGATAAATGACCATTGTTGAACGCCCGTACTTTCGACGCTATTCTTGCGACGTTGGCGAAATTTGTGCAGTGCTCGTATACAAAACATGTAGGAGAATGTCGTAATGATGCCTGGTATAACAATAAGTAAAATAGCAGACATCTGATGCACATTCCTTAGTCTAACACTACTCCACTTTCGTATGCAAAATTGTCCAGAATGACTGCTCATGACAAACACCATAGGTAAACCTGCGAAAAGATACGATACAATCCAAATAACTATTATCCAATGTCTGGTGTATCTCTGGGACGACTCCAGAGAGAACGGGTGTAGAATAGCAACAGCTCGTTCCAAACTTATGGCCATGATTGTCAAGATTGCTGTTAATGCGAGCGTATCTCGTAATGGCACCAGATAACGGCAAACAAACTCGCTCATTGGCAGTCTCTTCACTTCGGAAAGATGTAAAGGAACGCAGTACATAAGAATCAATATATCAGCCACTGCTAGGTTTGTTATAAATGATGGCGTGTATTCTTGACGCAATCGTAAGTCCGGTACACAGAACAAACCTTTTACACCAGTGGCTAGGATTATTATGTTCCCTCCTACACCCAAAACTGCCATAATAGTAAGCACAACTATCTGTATAAACACGCTTCTCTCAATATACTCAACGGAGCCAGGAGTGGAGACATTGCATGCAGATACGGTTGTATTGCACTCCATCGTACAAACTGTTTGTGCGCTTTAATATTCTTGTTGATATGCTCAGACTTGAGCTGAGCTGCGTCCGATGATAAACGTCGACTACTTAAGACGAATATACCGAAGATTTGCCACAATTTACCAAACAGGTTGAAAGTAAATCGCTATCGTACTGACTGCTTCCAGTTCGTTCTCGGTGTATAACGTGACACACCACCCGTGGTTGTCTTTATATTATCTCCCCAGGGCGTGACAGGAGGGCGGTTGATTGATCCATATCTTTATATATTTTATTGAGAGAACTCTCATAGATGATAACCTCTAGTGATCATATTTGTTTGCCCTCATTTTCGATTTGTTTTTCACATCTATATTGGTTTATAATTGCAAGTTGTTACATTTCCTATGGGAAGAATGCCATAGTGATAGCTTTAACTTGATTATGGCGCACTTTATTAATTTCACATGTCTCCATATTTGCTTATGAGCCTATTAACACTCGCGTGAATATAAAGGGTAGTATATATTTAAAAGTAAACAACAGTTTATTTAAGATTAGTATTACAATGGGCCATTTAATTTCAAAAGAAAGGGATCTTGGTTTTAAATTAAAACCTGTTTACTATTAATATCGATTTGAGTTTGTGTCTTTCGTCAGATTGAAACCTGCCTATCCAGCGGACCAATCTCGAGTCTGCTGAAAGTATTACTTATTACATCCGCCAGGCGGTTATGTTTTTATCCGCATTTGATTGTGCGTGTGTTTGTCTTTCAGCACAACCCACAACGAACAGCTTAAAAATATCAAGAGTATTAATACGAAAATTGATTACATTTTGGTTAAATTTCGATGAAAATTGGATGAGAATTGAGAAAAAAAGTTTTTGTCTTGCTTTGCCGATCAGAGTAAACTGAATACGTAATAATATTATCTCATTGTATAATCTATGCATGATACATGAATGTCCTCTACTATTACCAATTACAAATATATATGGTACATGTTTTCCTGATTATGGCTTTGAGATAGGGTGGAAAACTCTGCGAACTAGTAGCCGCATATTAGAGAATAGAGAATGGTTTCCGTATAGGAGTAGAAATGCGCTATTTAATACTGCTATTTTCAACGTCAGAATGCACAGTTCAAGAATGCACTATTTTCAGAGTCTACTTGACGAAGTGTTGTTTTTTAGAATATGAATATAAGATATCATAATCCCTTGATGACGGCTCTAAAAGTATAGAGTTGAAACACTGTGCTATCGCAACAATAATGTTTGAGCAATTAGTTCGAATAAATTGCCGTATTCATATTTTAGGACGGATTTCCGTTCAAGACGGAATTCCGTCTGGCGGATTCATTTAATGAATAATCAAATTCCTATTTACTAATTCAACTTACTATTTTTAATGATCTCTTGTTCACCGTAATTAAGTACAGTATCAAGCCTTCTTTTCAATAATTATTATTTATTCCAGCGCTGCAATAAACTCTCATCTAATTCCCCCTCCACCCCCTCATTAAAAATCTTGCTGGAACTGATTTCATTTATTGTTCTGGAAATAGTCATGTTGAAGGTCCGACGAAACACCTTCGCTCGAAACGTCGAAATTCTCCTTATATATGAGTTGCATCCCTACCAACGCAACTGTTCATTTGATTGGCACTACCTACACTGGCAAAGACAGTTCTAGAATATGCTGCGTCCGTTATACCGTAAATTCCTTCTACAGTCATTCCCAGTTTACCCCCATATTCTGTGTTCCTGAGCTCCCCCTCACAACAAAGACAAAATCTATAGAACACGTATCCTTATTACTTATTTGGCCGTGAGCTGAGGACATTTATCTTCCAGTTTCGTTTCACACTCTGAGAAACCAATGTTTTCTAGTAAGTTATACAGGAGCAGGCCGTTTGAAACAAGAAGTGTGAGAAGTTTGCACAAGCAGGACTCGGCATCAGTATTCTGGCGATTACGTGATCTATAGGTAGTTTAGAAATTTCAACATTTTATTCTACCATCAGATAGACCTAAATCAAGTATATTTAAAAAACTCTAGTACACCCGGACGCTGATCAAAACGTTTTTGGAAAATAGTGCTGAGTCATTTTTCTTTCTATGTGGGCAATGGAACACGTTTGTTTTCCTTCTAATTATACTTGTGTTGAGAAATTGCATGCAGGAGAAGGGTTAGCCTGCGCGTAGCTGGCGGTTTTAGGGGTTGGGGATGAGGCGCGGACAACCCACCAGCTACGCAGGCTAGAGAAGGGTTAAAATATTTTTTTCTGTGTTGGTGTAATGTAGTCAGGTGACTATGATGCTTGTGATGTTAGGGACCGGTCATAAAGTAATTACTAGAGGGGGGTGGAGGATAAATGAAATTTCAAGTACATGTTTTCATACCCTCCCAAAAACCTATGGAAAAATTTTCGTAACCCCCTTCAATGTAAGTGAAAATTTCCATACCCCCCCCCCCTTCTATCATTAATTCTGTTTCAACATTTGTCTTGCGTTTATCTATATTTCGAAACTCTCCAGTTTGTTATAACTCTCTCACTTCTTGTACTGGTAACCATATCCTCAACATTTTCCGCAGTCTCCGATTCGTCACCAGCTTTTCTGTTTCTGACATAGTAGCAATGGGCAAGAACAAACAGAAAAATTTGTTTTTGGTTTATTTCAAACAGAAAAAATGTGCTTCCATTCAATGTGACACTTTCTCGTCAGGTTCTAATGGTGTGAGCTTGCTACCATTGACAATTCAGATGTATCAGATTTGTACTCCAAAAGTTCCACGGATACTGAATCCTACTTATCATCTGACATTGAGTCAGACTGAATTGAAACATATATACTTTGTGTTGATTTAATAATAATTCCAGTAAAAAAGAACTATAATAACGATGAATGTAGAGAGACTCTTTGAAATTGCTGTACCTATAGTACTATGATTATTTACCCTAATCACTATAAATGTTTAAGTTATTAACTGCTCTCAGAGTACATTATAGGATACATTAAAAGCTTTAGAAAAACAAAAGCATGGCTGCTACAATACTGACATTCGTTATCATATTTAAAAATCTGGGCACAAATACATTCAATATTCAACACTAATTATAAAATGTAATTTTCCCCCGTACCTATATAGTACTAAGATTTTGGTACCCCCCTAGAGATTCTGTTGTTTTTCTCGTACCCCCACTGGTACCCCCCTCAGAGGTTCTCGATATTTTTCGTACCTCCCAAAAATATCCTCCACACCCCCTAGTAAATACTTTATGACCGGTCCCTTACTCTGAGTAGTATATCCACACCGGGCAAGCTTGAAAAATATGCCTGACCACGGTGGGAATCGAACCTACGACCTTTGGAATGCTAGCCCAATGCTCTGCCAACTGAGCTACGCGGTCTGGTCGGTTCGAGTATGTGATATTTCGGAACAGAATCTAGTCCTTCGATATTCTATCGCAGTGATATTGACACTCGAAAGTCCAACAATCTGATCTCTATGAGATCGCCGGTCACGACCGAAGTTAAACCGAGCTCATTTTGGAGTATGGTAATTAAAATTTACATACAAATTATACAAAAATGGCGGGTGTTGAAGAGGGTCAAGAAGATAATTTGGAACTTCAAGGCGAACCTGTCGATGGAGAAGCAAAGAAACTTATTGAAAGTTTACAATTTAAAAATCCTGGACCTCAATTAAAGAGTTTTTCTGAATTCGATCCTGAAAATAGCGCGAGAGAACTAAGAAAGATCAATAGATTGATATCTGACACAGGGAAAGGCAGGTCTGGTCGGAAGGCAAAAGGAGACACTAAACCTGCTTTACATGACGTTACTGGGAGATTAGTATCAAATAATGAGGATTTATGTGACTGTCAGGATGTGGACTGTGCAGGGTGTCATTTTCCATGTTCGTCTTGCGGGTCAGAGAAATGTGGTGTAGAATGTCGTTGTGGTCGGATTTGGACATATTGTAAAGATGTAATGACTACAGATTCATTTATATTGAGTTTTAATCAAAGAATGGATACAAAGACAAAGATGAGGTGAACCTAGGTGGGCTGTTCTACCAAGATACATGTGTTACTCTGTACAAAGCCGTCGGAAGCGGGGAGCTTGGAGGGGGGGGGGGGCTTCCATTCGTACAAGCAAAACACACAAACAAACTAGAAAAGTGTGAAAGCAATTCAAATTTATTCTTGAGCACCCCCCCCCCCCCCCCAATATGGATTTACTTCCGACGGCCTTGCTGTACATTGTTCTACCAAGATATATATGCTATTCATTTCTATGATTCGAGTTTGCATTATCAATTTTTCATCTTGAAGTCACATTTGGTTGTTCCGGAAAACACTGATACCTCCCACATGGAGGAAATTGGAAGTTAACCCTCACAATCAGAAACAAATTTTTCTCCCCTCCAAATGGCAGAAATGTCCTCCGTGGGGGGGAGTGTGGATCTGTTATGGAATGGCCCATACATGGCAGGGCTTGAAATAACAACCGATCAATGATCAGCAAGAAATTGCTTATGATCGGCGGAAAAGTAGGGTTTCCAGCCTGAAAAAGCAGGGAAAGTCATGACTGCCAATCACCATGATCGGGAACTTTATTCCAAGCCCTGTATGGTATTGTCCAAACATCTTGACATTTTTGGTAGATGGATCTGAGCATGAAGATCCATTTTTGGCAAAGATCTGTAGGTAGTGAGATGAAAAATCAATTATGTCAACTTAGATTGGGGAATTCTCCAATCTGAGTTAGCATTATTGATTTTTCATCTTCATATTTTGCAGAAATGGACCCCAAAATTGAAATATTTATGCCCAAATTCGTCTATACTGAAAATTTCACAATTGGTTAGGCAGTGCAAGTTACAGTATTTTGAAAATTTAGTTATTCATGTACATTTTGACTGGAATTTGCTGCATCAGTGAAAACATTTCTGTAGGGTCTGTACTCTGCAGATAGTGAAATGGAAAATTGATGATTCTAACTCAGATCAGAGGATGTTTTAGTTGGATTTGTGCATATTTTAAGGGGCTACAATTCAAATTGTCACAGATAGTGCCCTATCTATATTGTTATATTTATTGTGATTTTCCCATCTAGGCAGAGTCTAAAAAATACAAAACTGGGGGTGTACCCCTAGACCCCCATACGGGTTTGCACTTTTCCAGTTCAGTGCCTCCTAGTTAGGTTGTTATACTGTACTCTCAATGTATGGTTTGGATCCTGCATATTGCCTTTGTTAGTTGGATTTGAATGTAACATAAAGATGAAAGGACTACAAATTAATTAATATTGAGTTTTAACAAAGAATGGATTCTACAAAGCCAACAACTGAAGAATATTTGGTATGCTGCACATTGTCACTGTATTCAGACTTGTTACTATATTAAAATTGTACAGTATCAATTTTTTACCATTTCAAATAAATTTGTTCACTTGTTTGTTATTGGGAATTTGGTTACTCAAAAGTTTCATATACTGTACAATAACTTAACCTATTGAGCACCGGTACTCAGGGGCGTAACTTGTCTCTACGTATGGTGGGGGTAATTTTCCCCCGCAAAAGGGCGTGGCTTGCAACAAACGCCCTGCAAAAGGGCGTTGCCTGTAATACAACAACTATATAACAAATATATAATACAACAGACGCAACCATAGTATTTTGAGACAGACGTTTACCATTGTGACATGATGTATTCAAGTAACCCTTCATTATTGTCGACATTATAATGATATTCGCTGAGTAAAGGCTGCTTTCCAGTCACGCGTTTTTCATACGTGCGTATACGCACAGAAAAGTTGAAATATCTTTAAATGTTACTTATGAAATAACTGAATAAAATTCATACTAATCTTAAATTGAAAAAAGATTTAAACGTTTCCGTGACTGGAACTCAGTCTCAAGAAACCAAATTTTGAGTTTTCGATTTTTTCTGGTTGCCCAACTTTTTTTTTTCTTTCTTTTTTTGTATAAACTTATTTTAATATCAAGAAAGATATCACAATTGCCCAAGAGCTCAATAAAAGGCACATATACAATTATAGAAGAATAAGGAGTAAAAGAAAAAAAACAACAAAGGAAGACTTTCACTGGACCTTTAATTAGGTAGTAGTAGAAAAACGTCGGGAATTAATGATGAATTCCTGAACAGCTAGAAACAGTGTTCTATTTGAATCAAAGTCAACTTCGTTACAACCATATAATAAAAATTTAAGTTTTGTATTATCGTTAGCTGTGGTCCAGTGATAATGAAGACAATCTGCAGCCGAGGTAAGCAAATGAGCACGATGGACTTGAAAACATGAACACTCCAACAAATAATGTTTAGATTTTTCACGGTAGTATCCGCATGCATGCACAAGCAGGAGAAGAAATACAATTATGTAGGAAAAGATCATAATTTAAGGTAGGATTATTTAATCGTAATCTTGTACGCAAAATAAAGGCATATCTTGAACCCACATTCTACCAACTTTTAATTTAAAATTTGCTACGGAAGAAGAATTTCTGACATCAACTGGAAGTACATTCCACGCACGAATAGCAGAGGGAAAGAGTGAATTTTGAAATCTAGTAGTTGAGTAATACATTACAGAAATATCTTCTTTATTCGTAACTGAACAAGGAACGAGAGATGAAAGGTAACTTGGCAAAAGATTATTTGTCATCTTGTAAAAAATAGAAACTTTGTGAATTTGACGTCTTGTTTTTAACAAATCCCAAGAAATTCCTGAAGCATGGATTGGAAGTCGAGTAGTACCTTTTATAGCACCTGTTGCAAGACGAGCGCGGCATCGTATTGTACACTCTCTAAAATATCACTAGATTCATCTGTACACCCATCCCAAATAAAGTCAGCATACTCCATAAGCGGTCTGACTAAGGTTAGATACATAGAGTTCAGAGTAGTTCAGAGTTGCCCAACTTTTCAGAACCACATTAAGATCAATCGTATCTGTTATGTCCTTTTCGGTTGGGAGGACGATTAGATCTTCTAGCCTTTCATCGTTGATCGTTGATCGCAAATAATTATTGACAATCTTCATTTTGATGAACGATCTTTCGATCTCACTGGCGCAGTAAAACGTTTGGGAAAATTTCTCCTGCGTAATGGACATAGGTCATGGACTGTCAGGGACGCCGGAACTGGGGGGGGGGGCAGGAGGGGCAGCCGACCCCGCTGCATGCCCTTTACCAGGAGGGGCAAGGGTCGGGGGAAAAGGTGCCCTTTCAATTTAAAGGATTGCCTTGGCGAAGTAGCGAATTTTCAGAAATTGTCAGTGCAATTAGCGAATTGTAGCGAATTGTCAGTGCAATTATTTTACGAATTTGCTTCAGAAAACGCAAGAAATGCAGTCATGGAGCTTCAAGAATAGCACAGTCGTCTGGCGGAGAACCCCCTCACACCCTAGCTATCATCCAATAAATAGAAAACATGATTAGGCGAAGTTCAACTCCCGATGTTTTGCAAACATCTCTTAGAAAATATCAATTCAAAAGTGCCCTTTACGAAAATCTGCCCCCCTTGCCTTCACATCGTTCCGGCGTCCCTGTGGACTATCTTATATGTTTCTTCAGTCTCATTGACAAAGTTCACAAAAATCTCAAGTTCTGCAGCTAGTGACAAAGGATCTACGTTGGCCGACGGAAGAAAAAGTCCAGCGAACTTTTCAGTTTCAATTTCAACTTGTTAAAAAATCGGTTTGGTCATCGGAGGCTGAAGGATAACAGCTAAAGGTTTGATTTTTTGCAAACTATTATTATTCTGTACTCTGTATTGAGGGAATCGAGGACTTCATGATCAATCATACATTCTCCATAGCTGGCGTAAAGTGAAATTACTGCCAACGTCTCGGGTTTGTCGTCCAACCATCTGCTTATTCTTCTACCACTCTTTTTAATTAACAAACTCATCCGCGGGATATATTGGAACCAAATGTCTTCGTATCAGCACTCATCTCTGCACCATAATCTTTACACTTAATCTTTCGTCTGTAAGTTCGAGTTCGTTGAGTTTTCGCTTTTTTGAATCAAATTATCCACGCGGCCCACGCAAAAAGACCACGCAAGCTTCCCCTTAAATGAATTTTAATAAATGTGAATATAATCGTATGTAATAGATTAACAAAGGTTTCATTGCAACGAATTTGTATAAAAAATGCACAAAAAAAGAAAAGAATAATAACTTACCTTCCATTGAGTTATGGTGCCGACGTGCCAATGCCCAAAACAAAACCAAATTTGAAGAACATATTAAAATATATTACACTTCTTCCCAACCATGCGTAAATTACAATGTGCGTCGTTTTCGTTTTGCAACTTAATGCAAACTTTCTAAAGGCCGTTTTCCACTAGGCGAATTTTTTCGCGCGACGCGAAGCGAAAACCGAAATCCGGCAACGTGATTGGTCGGCGAAAAAATTCGCGGCGAAAAAGTAGGATCGCTTCCTACTTTTTATCTGTTCGCGCGAATAAATTCGCCTAGTGGAAAACGGCCTTAAGTTAGCGGAACATCTATAACTGTAACAGTGGCTTCGGTGGCGCAGTCGTCAGAGCATAGACATTTCAAAAGACATATCTTTTGGATTGTCTATGGTCAGAGCAATTAAGCGCCTTTCACGCGGGCCCATCAGGGGCGTAGGAACCGGGGAAGCCAGCCCCCCCCAAGTTTTGCCAAGTGCCCTTTTTCCGGGAGCAAAGTGCCCTTTTCTTGCGTGAAAAATGTCTTAAGGATTGCCTTTTTTTGCCCAAAGGGCACTTTTGAAAACTTAAATTTGTTATTTTCCGGAAACTTTTATTCATCTCCGGGAAAAATATGATATATCCGGAAATTTTTTTGGTATATCCGGAAAAATTTCTTCATAATTTGAAAACATTTTTGAAACCTCCTATCATCGCGAACTTTTCCGGAAAAAAAATTTTAGATGCTCTTTTTTATTCGGAAAGTGCCCCTCGAAGCCTGCCCCCCCAACTTTTAAAAGCATCCTACGCCCCTGGGGCACATGTAAGAGTCGGTCAACGCTCCGTCGAATGTCATGGGTTTTCTCCGCAGGCGCTCCGGTTTCCTCCCACAGGGAAAGTTGACAGGGTGGGTTAGAATAAACATAGTTAGGAATGAATAATATATATGTATGTATTTAATTTATCTTACAAATCTATATAGTTACAGTTTGTACTGTTAGCCCGAATTCCGAAAATGTCAAAATTGGAAGGTTTCTTTTTAGTTTGTGCATTTGATTATATCATAGGGGTCACCCCCCCCCCAAAAAAAAAGTTACGCCCCTGCCAGTACTCTCCCCTTGACAAGAACAATGGTCTGGCATTAGACAGAGTAAAATAATAAAATTGAGCGCAGTGCAATTTATTGGGTTAGCAAATCAGAAAATAAAGTATATATATATTTACAAGAAGTGGGCTAGGGGCCTACTAGAAACCATGTGGCTTTTATATTTGAAGCCCCTAGATTATAAAGTTAGTGGTCTCGTGTCACTATAAGGTCTTTTTAATAGTTCGAAGGCGTAATATGAAGAATGTCGGTTAAATTTTCAGTGTTTTGCTAAAACAGAAATTGTTTAACAAAAACAGTGTTTGAGCGAAAACTGGAAATTTAGAGCATTTTTCGACCCACGACTTTTGCGCACGACTTTTTACACACGACCAAAACTCGAACTCAGCGCCGTATCCATGCACCGGGTAGGAATCTAACCTTTGTGCCCGCTGAAAAGCTGCGAAGATATCACAATGGACTCCACAATAAGTATGGGGAAAACTAATTTAATGGCACAAAACTTTATCTGGGTTCATATATAGGTTGTGAACCAATTTTATCAAAAAGTAACAGTCTTTATAAATATTGACGTCAATGTACATTTTTTATTATTTTCATTTAATAGCTTCAAAATGATTACTGAATGATCGAGGATTGAGCATTTTATTGATTTTTAAATAAAGAACGCTTTAAGCTTTACAATAAATAACAATAACTTAATATTTTCAAAGCTTTAAGCTTTACAATAAATAACAATAACTTAATAATGTAATGACTAATATTTAATACATCACAAGGAATATATAGATTAGAAATTTTGGGCAGACATACACATCAACATTGTTCACATAAATAAGGAACGTTTTTACGTGTCATGCACTCGTCTTAGCAGACTTTATTCTCAATATCGCCGCATTTGTCGGTTATATCAGCATGCATAAACCATTCGTTGAATGAACAACTAAATAATTTTTAGGCGATATACCAGTCCTGCCTGAACGGGCAACCGAGAAGAAAATTCTACTCGCCCATGGCCATGATCGTACGTGGTAGTCTAAATTTCCCCAGGCACGCGGGCAGCCATTAACCCTCACGTCAACTTATAGCGGCTTCAAACTATACACTCTAAACATAAAATTTAATGCAGTCAACGTGTAATTATAGAACTAACTTTGAGATGTCGAATGGAGAAACTGGGGGTAAAGAGAGGTAGTTGGGATTGTAAAGGGTGCAGCGAAACCACCGGTTGTGACCATTGTTGGTAAACCTGTAAAAATAAAAGTTTAGAATGACATTTATAACGACTCCAATCAATAATACATAACCGCATGTAATCAATTACATATATATAAAAAATAAAGTAACGCAAGTATTACATGACTGTAATCAACAATGTATCGCATGTCGTAAAAGGTTTGTAACGAGTTTCTCTAACAAACATGTAGGCAAGGGGAACAATACTAGCGCATTAACGATGCACAAACAGCTGTGGGATAGTCCACTATTTCCAAATCTAATGTCTACTTACTTTGTGGAGGTAAGTTAGCTGAAACACAGTTGATTTGTTCCATATTTTGTGTCCTGGTGACAGCGTTAAAAGCACTCTTCTGTCTCAGCATTGGCATCACACCCGGCGCAGAAAACGTGAACACTGCGGGCGCACCATAGCTACTATTTCCGCTGCTTGGTGTTGCTATATGAACAGGGGACTGTGGAACAACTAAAAGACAAAAGTAGGATTTTTATAACGATATCTTGTTATAACCAAAGAAAAATGTGATCCTCTTTCTGGTCCGTGCCATCTCTTATAGAGAAGCCTCACATATCGATTTTGTCCATGAGAAACGTCATAAGGACGTTTCTCTGGAGACACCCCACCCCCCTTAGAAACGTCACATAATTATCGATATTTTGTTCTTATAGCACACATATGGGTAATTTTCACTATTTCGAATTATGGAATTACGGAATGGTGCATGTTTGTATCAAGTTGTTTTCTTTTTTTATATTCTGCAAAGATGACCCCGAAATGTTTTTCAAACACTCATTAAAAATTCATAAGCGTATTGGCAAATCATGTCAACCATAATATGTCACGTGCAGTGGCTTTAAACCTGATAAAACACTCCTAATTAGTATTCTTTATATAAAGAATACTAATAAGGCAGTATCTATTGTGGTCGTGTCCTCATTAGTATCCTTTATATAAAGAATACTAACAAGGCAGTAAATCTATTGAATTTGTAGTCGTGTTTGAAGCCGTTTAATAAACTCGCAGGTCGTGTTTTATTAGGTCTAAAGCCACTCGCGCTGCGCGCTCGTGGCTTTAAACCTAATAAAACACTCCTGCGAGTTTATTAAACAGTACATAAGGCTTTCGGAAAAACTATCGAATTTTTCCATGATGTTTCACAGAGAAACGTCACAGCTACAAACCTCCCCCCCTCCCCTGCAGCCATCCATTTGACGTTTCTCGTGGACAAAATCGATATGCGAGGCTTCCCTTACTAGTCCTTTCTTTCTACAGAAGGAATGCAGTGTTTGCATAAGTCGAACCGGACGTACACTTTAATTAATCAAACAAAACAGGAATCGGGCAGAACAACACAAACATGACAGAACGAAAAACAAACACACGAAACCTCCGTTAACATGTACATAAACAGTCATAACCAGTTTCCATTGAGTACGTTGCGGAACCAAACCATGGTCACTAATGTAAAACAGCAGTTTTAGAGAGACAAACAGAGGAGACAAAAACTCAGACATTTAACAACCAACCTGTAGCTCCAGTCATCATACTTGGTGACGCTGGTATTCCAAAATTCGATGGTACCGTACCAGGAGAAACTTGAAAATTCGAGTAACCAGCGCAGAATGAGTTCCCCGGTCCTCGTGATAGCATCGGTGATAGCTGTTGATTATCAGTCTCTAGATGTGAACCAGTACTATTACGACTTGTTGTTAAGGTTGAAACACTGGGTAATGGTCCGCTTGTACCGTTCACAATTATACGGTTCTCATCTGTGGTGTTGGAACATGATGCCGAGCTCAGGAATGAAGGGCTCTGTAAGTGAGTTGGGACTTGATTACTGACATACGTACAACCATTTTGAGAATTTGTTGGGTTTATAAAAAAACCAGCACTAATATTGTTGTATGGTGGTACGTTATCATGTAGTGGTGATTTATACAATGCTGTGTATATACCAGAGGTTTTAGAATTGGGGTAACTTGGACGAGGACGGGAATAACGATAACAAGTTTCCAAAGTTTCTGCTGCTCTCTTTAGTATTAATTCCTTAAGAAAATAGAAATGAACGACGTGTCAATGACAATGATTTATCTTGTTCAAGCAGTTGAAGCTATCTCTTTAACGACCATTGTTTTTGAGACGAGTAAGAATTAGCCACCATGTTTTTTTAACGCTTATCCCCTTTCCCCCATTCAATGTTGCTATTTGAGGTCGAAATTCAAAAGGAAGGCCTGAAACTATACTAACAGTCACTAGCCAACTTTCGGGAGAGTGCGGGAGCATGGAGTGTCTCGTTTATTTTGCTTAATGTTATAAATATACTGCAGTTCTTCATCACAACTTTGCTGTCTTTATAGTGCCTGCATGCAATCAACCTTGACCTGTTTTACACGTCGAATTTCGGTCGCGTTAATTAAGTTGAATGCGAGGGGCATTTCACTCCAAAAATCCCGTACACTTCGTCAAAAAATCCGGAAAAAATTCGAACAAATCCGGAAAATCCAACAGATTTTCTCTTCAAAAATCCGCTAAAAATCCGGGGAAAATCCGCTAAAAAATCCGCGGATTTTGTGGATTGAGTGGACATTTTGTTGATTTTCTCGTGCTATATTAAAAGATAATCCAAATTTTTGTATTCTGGCTGATCGATCTGTGCGTATTTTCAAACTACTGGTAAAGATTTCAATGGAATCTGATTGGGGGAAATCTGTGAATATGCTGATTTCTTCGACACCTTCGGCGAGCTGTTTACAGTGGATTCACGACAACTATTAAAACGCCGAAAACAGGGCTTTTACGTCTCTGTTTGTTTAAACAAAACAACATTACAAAAGAATCATTTAAAAACAATACAACAAAGCCGTCGGGAAAGAAGAAAGACGTCCAGGTGCGAGAATGTAACCTGATACCAATGTCAATCTCACCTTTGATTATATGACATACTATTAGTAATTATTAGATATAAGAGATAAATTCTAAAAGTAGGCGAATCCAAAGGGTATATAATATTGAGAGATATTGAGAGTTTCAGTTGTTCTCATTGGCAGTACCATCCCCATAGCCAACTGAGAGCAAAACACAAGCAGACGGAACAGTATCTACAATGCTGTTCAATAATCTTATAAACCTGCCTGAAGTATTTGATACATTTTTGTGACTATCAATCAAATTCATCAAAATAGCTCAAGAAACTCATCAAAACTTCACAAGTGGTATAAAAGAACAAATTATGTAAAACATATTCTCTCTAATAATGGAGTTGATGTATGGAACTCACTAGAATAAAAAATAAAGACATAAACTCTCAATACATCTTCATAAAACAAATTCAGCAGCATTTTTTGATGAAAACATTCTATTTGCATATTATTCTATTTGCATATTATTGTTCCTCTATTACTCTGAAAATGCTCTCTCTGATTTGGCTGTAAAATAAAATAAAATAATATATTATATTATAAATCTAACAGTTAACTATAAACCTTTACTAGGGGCCTAAAGCAAAAAGCCTAACAAAGTATCTAGTAGGTCTTTAGCCCAAATTAATATAAGGAAAAATATGTAAATATTAATTGTCTATGGAACTGTACATAGGGGAGAAAAATTAAAACTAAATAAATAAATAATAAAGAAACTCTTTCATTGGTAATATTTCTGTCCTCGGGTTTTCTGGGGTCAAATTCTTTCCTCACTGTTTAATTGCAGCCAGAATTTTGGTCTAAATATTAAATTTTTAACCTTGCATGCTTGGATTTACTTCTTTTCAAGTTCCTTTGTTCTATTCTTGGGGAACACTGATACAGGCACACAGGCAGGGGAAATATATTGCTTGTTGACATGTTGTAAGCATAATTTATTTAATACATTGAAGACTGCAAGTACATGATTACATGCTCAACTGTTCCAGCTGTTCAAGGACACACATCCACACTTTTATATGTGAGTCATCCTTTGTGATGGACAAACTGAATTTACAAAAAAATGTCATGGTCTTGTCAATGGGGCATTTAGCAACATGAATTATATCAACAAATCCACTCATCCAATATGAGTAGGCCCTCTCATCTTTGTATTTGCCAATATATTCAACATCCACTGCCTTTACTCGTAGAATGTATAGCATTCCATCATCAAGATGTGGCCATGTTTTTGAATGTCATCTTTCCAATATTCATCGCACAGAGTGCTAGCCTCGCTCTTAATAATATCATTAGTTTGTAGCCTTTGTTGGTATTCCTTCTTAATTAATCTATCAAAAATTTGTTCCTTGTAAATTTCTTTGAAGCACCCAATTCATACGCTTTAATAAATGCTCCCACAAGTTCAACCTTTTTCCCACTCTGTCAACCCAACGAAATCCTCGTAATATAATCCATTTGCAATATAATCCTCCTATGAGAACATAAAATATAAACAACTCAAACTCAATATCTCTCAATATATACCCTTTGGATTCTATATTAAAGGTGAGATTGACATTGGTATCAGGTTACACTCTCGCACCTGGACGTCTTTCTTCTTTCCCGACAGCTCTGTTGTCTTGTTTTTAAACATGATTCTTTTGTAATGTTGTTTGTTTTTAATAAACAAACAAAGACGAAAAAGCCCTGTTTTCGGCGTTTCGTTGTCGTGAACCCACTGTAAATAGCTCGCAAAAGGTGTCGAAGAAATCAGCATATTGGAACGGATTTTCCCCAATCAGATTCCATTGAAATCTTTACCAGTAGTTTGAAAATACACACAGATCAGCCAGAATATAAAAATTTGGACTATCGTTTAATATAGCATGAGAAAATCAACAAAATGTCCACACAAAATTATCGCTCACTCATTAGTAAAATATATGGCAGCCATGGCTTGGCCGCGCGCTCGCCCCAATGTTTTGCACCCCCGGCAATATGGCGGAATAAACCTTGAAAGGGCCTATTCAAACAATAGATAATGAAGCTTAATGAGGTTTATCATCTCATTATCTATTGCCTTAATTGCATTCGACGCGACCAAAATTATTCGACGTATAAAACAGGCCTTAATGAACCACTGGGCAAAACAATGGTATAATACAGAATATACTGTAATGCTGCCAAACAATTTTAATCGTCATGTCAAGGCCGTTCTTGTGTTTCAACAAGCATTACAACAACCAATGTACAAAATATGTATGCATACCTTTGGTAACCTGTCTGGATCACCAAGATGTTTTGGAACAATTTTTTGCAACCTTTGAAATCCGTTGTCGATGGTTGGTTCATTTAAAGCTATAAAAATGAAAAAATAACTTATTATGTCCAAAAGTAGAAGCCACGTCACTTGACTCTATTGCATTAAAGACAACAACTAACAGACTGTTTTCCAGTGTCCCGACATGCAAGTCAACCTCGTACCCAGGATCTTTCCGTTTGGGAACAAGGTTGCATGCAAGTCTGGCTTCGGCAGAATAAAATGAGCCCTTCTAAGACCATCATAATGAAAATGGTCTACACGCTAATAACTTTGACCTTAACATGCATGGTAGGTATGTATGTCTTTCTCTGTGAGTACGAGCCAGTAGATTTTTAAATATATGTCGATGTTATATAAAATATAATATTTACAACGGTCAATTCTGTCACGTATAATTCCCCAGCAGTATTCAACCATGCATAGTGACATCCTGAACTCGACTACTACTCGACTTGAAGCCGAACCAATATTTTGAACCGTCCTTTTCATTAGAAGTCTGTTTCGTTTTATGCTTTTTCATCTTATCACTATACCTGTATATACAAATTTAGCAGGTGCTCTCTTGCAGAACTGTGTATTGCGAAATGACAGGGTCACATCAACCGTGCCAGGGGTTACTTTCGGTGGAGCCTGGACGCTAATTACTTGAGGCGTTATGACCTGAAAAGAAATGGCATGATGCATATGTTTTACCCAGATATTTGCAACTAGATCTTGAAGAACTTTGTATAGGTAATGGCATGATTTCGAAACATGCACGAGTGAGTTTTGCATGTTTATCCAAATTTCACTACCTCCTCCGCAGGCCATACAGCCCGTAATGAGTATGCCCGTTCGCAGGTTGAAATTTGAAATTTGAGACGAAGACTGGCGTAGCTGTAAGGCCTGCTGAATAACATGTCGATTACCGTATTTACTCGTTTAAGCGCCGCGGCGCTCTTTAAATTTTTAGAGCTTCAGATGCGGCGCTCATTCGGGGGCGGCGCTCAATCGGGCGACGGGGGCGGCGCTCTTTAAAAAATATTTTATTTGTGAATTATCACAAGAACTTTTAACTATAAAATAGACAAGTTTTAAAAGGATTTTTTCACTAAATGTCCCAATTTTGACGCCGAAAGTTTTTACACTGTTTAGTGCGGCGCTCATTCGGGGCGGCGCTCTTTAAAAAAAATTGATCTCAAATGCGGCGCTCATTCGGGGGCGGCGCTCAATCGGGGGCGGCGCTCAATCGAGTAAATACGGTACTTGGCTTTTGGTGTCGATTACTCGGTTGGGTCAAATTTCTTCAAACATATGGCACATCGTCTGCTAATCTTTAGCAATCCCGTTTTGCGAGTATTTTCTAAATACATCTTGGCAGTTATTGCTGGTAAAAGCGACGAGGAGATTCAAATAATGGAGGGTTTTACAAGCACAAGCAACAGTGATGATAGACGTTGTGAATCTATCATTTGGCCAAATGTGATGTTTTGACTATCTACACATGCATTTAAATAGTTACACTGTATAAAAGACAAATATAAATGGAATAAATTTCATGGATAAAGGGCCGCATGCCTGACATACGACGTGTTACATAAAAGCCCTGCGTGTTTGTAATATGCAAATTATAAACTGATATTTCATATTTATCTGCTTCTCTTTATAAATCATTATATATGCTTGTTTGTTCTGTGTTCACTGTTCCTATGTATATTTCAGATACGAAAAGCGGTCTATATTATTGTTCTGGTAAAATGATATATTAAATATAATTTGGTTTGTTGCTCCCGCCATTTTGGAAAATTAGTCGGCAGGCCTTTCGGTTCGTTTCCCACCAATTTTATATTTTTGAAAGGCCTGTGGAGGAGGTAGCAAATTTCACGAGAAACCCTACTATTATTACTTATTAATAATTTACATAAAAGTATTCGAGACAATCAAATTTGGATAAATATCAATTTTGGAGATTCCCAAACTTGACCCAAGTGTGGGAATCTTTCCGCACAGCTATTAAAAATGCGGCCATGTTTGTTTTGAAAAAAGAATATTTGAAAAATATTCCCGCCAAAACTTAGCTCAATTTTGATTGGTTCATAGTGATTACATAAAATTGCACTGTGATTACAGATTTTAGCACTGCTGTTTGGGATTAACTGCACTGAAATCAACCAATCACAGACGAGTAATACTTTTATGTATAATATTTATTCGGTAACGCATATACATGAACAACATTTACCTCACTCCAGACAATGACAGACCCAAAGACAACCTGAAGACCATCAAAGAAATGTTCACCAATAACAAGAACGTTCGTTCCACCACTCGTCCAACCCTCACTTGGGCAGATAGCTCGGATAATAGGAATCACTATGAAGTTAAAAAGTTGAATAAAACACTAAGGTGGTTGAGGGTGCTACGACTTGAAGTTAGCGGTTACCAGTCTGCCGTAAACATCAATCTTAACCTCTCTACTACGTCCGGGTACAGAAATACTTTATCGTGAATTGCGAACATAAGGGCCTCGCTGAAAGTTCCCCCCTAAATACAGCATATCATCATAAGTTCTGAATAAATGATTACCTGATAATCACACCTATGGTAGTTGCTTAATGCAGCTTGAAGAATGGGGTCATTCATGCTTTAAAGAATGACTTATATTAATAGCCTCCATTGAATACAAAAATACCCAGTTTTAAAATTAACAAGAATGACTTTATTTAAGTTTCAAAACAACAGTAATGTTTCATCAATGATTTAATAATGAGTGTAACCACCACGCTTCTCGGTCACCTCAAGGCATTGTCTGCTCACCCGCCGTTGAGATATAGCCACCCATTCCTCCATCCATATAGCCCAAGTCAGCCAGAGTGCTGTATTCTTCGAACCGACGAAAGACAGATTGCTTTTGCCGGTCAGTCCCAAACGGATGCTCATTTGGGTTGAAATCTGGCGAGTTCCCAGGGCACATCATTAATTCTCTTTCTGCGGAGACGATGCCTTGACGTTATCGAGACGTGTGTTGGTTAAACCCATCATGAAATCATTGATAAAACAATTTACTGCTGTTGTGAAATTTGAATAAAGTCATTCTTGTTAATTTGGTATTTTTATATTCAATGAAGGCTAATTAAGTCATTCTTTAAAGCACGAATGACCCCATTCTTCAAACAGCATTAAGCAAACTACCATAGGTCTAATTCGTGCTGAGATGTGATTATCAGGTAATCATTTATTTAGAACTTATGATGACATATTTAGGTGGAACTTTCTTTTTGTGCGGTGTTTATATAGCTTCTTCCTTAAAGCGTAAAAAGTCTGTTTCTGGTCAGTGCGTTTGTCCATAATCGACGTGACTTTTTCACCTTTTGCAGAGATGAGTTGTAATTTCTTATTAATATTAAACTGTCACTAAATTTGCAGGTTTAATAGAAAAATTGTTGCAGGTTTAATAGAAAAAATGTTAAATATTACATTATAATTTTTGCCGTTGACGCGCGCAGTTATAAGAATGACGAGCGCATTAGCAGGACACGGCTCCATTATACGGACTCCTGAAAGTAACGGCCCGCTCATGCCATTCATCAGTTGATAATTTGCTCAATAGCGACTTATTAGGAAGCCTTCTGACATTTCCCCTTCACATTTTTCAAATAAATCATTAGAAACAACTGAAGGGGTGTTACTCTGGAAGGGCGATCGAGAGGTTACTTTCGGCATGCATCCATTCCTTTCAGAGTTTGAAATAAACGCCTATGAAGTATTCCTCTCTTCCAAGGCGTGTGTTATCGTACTTCAATATTATATATATATATATATATATATATATATATATATATATATATATATATATATATATATATATATATATATATATATATATATATATATATAAGAAAGTCCGCTATGACCACCAGTCTGGTTTTAAAAATAACTTCTCAGCAGCCTTTATTGCCAATACTATACGGATTTTTACTGTACCTTCTAACTTAACCAAGATATCATCTGCTGGAGGTGATTTTACTTTACGTGTCCGTGAATGCTTCGAATTATTGTGAATAAAAATTGAATTTGAATAACCCATACTCGTACTTCCATAAACGTCCGTCGAAAACATAATTAGAAATCTTCTCTGCTGTTTCGGATTTCCAGCTGCCTTCTGACAATTCTGGTTACATTTCATGAAAAACGTCAGTTTACCAATCGTGCATCTAGGAAATAGAATTATAATATTTTCCCTTGAACTTGCATGCTGTCATAAATGGAAGCTAAGAACAAGGTTTGGAAAAATCAAAATAGTTTTTGTCTAGGTTTATGTTTGTTAGTTAGATTTTACGTTTCATTGTATAGAATTTTACTATACGTAGCCTTCATCTTGCAACTATATAATTCAGCATTTTAGCTGTAGTGTTATGTGCTTATAGCGAAAATACAATACGTATGTGACGAGAAAATAGAAGAGAGAAAAGAGTCTGGTTAGCCACATTGTTCTATAATGTTCAAAAATATCCTGAGGAAAACGCAAGGTGTCCACGGACAATCCTGGAAAGTCCTTGAATTTGTTAAAAATAAATCGAAGTTTGAAAAGTCCTTGAAAATTAGCGCAGCTAGGTCCTTAACTGAAAGTTGTGGAATTTCTTTCCAGCTGTGCTGATAATACTTGAATATTATTTAGACTAGTGATTTTGAATAAATAGTGGTGTTCCGTGTCATTTTCAAAGCTTTTCTAGTTTTAGGTTCTTGAATTTACTGAAAAAAGGCCTTGAAAGTCCTGGAAAAGTAATGGAATTTCTATCATCTTCACTAAAGGGTGAAAACTCTGTTAAAGGGTGAAAACCCTGTAAAACCCTGTTTCGAAGGGCACGTGATGACATTGTGTCCTTACTGAAAAATTATAAGTAATATAAAATATTGAGAATACCAACGAGACGTACCTGTCAATGACTGGATCACTTGGGGTTTCATTTTTATTGCCACAAGATTTATTCTCATTGCAACGACTGAAAATTTAAAAAATCCTGACATTAATCATGAACATTAATGTTATGCATCATTTAAACCAGCGCAAAATTCTAAAGTTGCAGACATTCTGGGTAAATATGAAGATTTTGGGCATCTCGTTTGATAGAACAGAATGTGGACGATTTTCAGTAATTTTCGGACGAAATTTTACTATATGTACCCATAATTACCGAGCCTAATTCTATTGGTATTTTTACACAAGTCTTTTGTGTTTTTTGGGAATTTATTTAATTTCGCTTATTTCTTTATCAGTAACTTCCACAAAACGGCTAGCCGCCATTTGCAAATTTCGGTTTTGTTATATTCACCTGTAGGGTATAGGTGTAACATGAATATAACAGCTTAATACGTCAAATTTGATCAATCAACTTGTAGGATTTGTTATATTCACTTGTTGTAAAAATACTAGTAATAAATAATAAATTTCTGCAGAAATTTATCTGTAGTTACATAACTTACATTGGCCCGATTTATTCTACCCATTTCAGCGCACCCATTTCAGCGCACCCATTTCAGCGCACCCATTTCAGCGCACCCATTTCAGCGCACCCATTTCAGCTTCTTTCATATTCGGAGCTTTTTTCAAGATCGGCTTTTAGCTATTGAATGACATGTTTTTCATGCCAAGTGGAGAAGAAATAAGCAAGTACAAGTCCGATAAAAAATGTTAGTCAGAATCGCATATTTTTACCTCTGTGCCTAATTAAAGCAGTGCATCCTACCTGCACATAACTTCATGTGTAAGAAGAACTCTTCTCAACTCCGGATTCTTGTCTTGCCCTTCATACAAAATTATCTGTCAATAACAATAACATTTAGTATAGATTTAAAGTTTGCGAGTTCGTGGCAACCAAGTATATCGGACAGTCATGTTTTCGCGCGCTATTCTGGTTTTTATAAATGAATGCTGCAGAGCCCAGTCGATTCAGTCGATTTGCATTCACGACCCAATTCGACTGACTGGGCTTTGCATTGATTCAATTATAAAAAAACAGAGTACCGAGCAAAAACATGGACATTTAGCATAACCCAATAACAGCGGTGCTCAAACGAAGTTTTACCCTTATAAATAGGGGGGGTCAAAAAAGTTTTAACACAAAGAAAGGGGGGGGGGGTCATAAAAGTTTTTGAACTTAAATATACCATGTCTAGAGTTCTGATTTCTATAATCACAAATAGCAAAAAAGAAGACTATGAAAATGCTATTTCCAACGATCTAGAGACTCAAAATATTCCTGCTCAGCGCCAACCATGGTAGCGCCTCGCGATCGTGAGAGTCGGGCCCACTAAGTTTAACAAGCTTTCTACCCCCGAGTGACCCAGTTGTGGTATTTACATAAACATACCATGCAAGTACACTTAACTGATCTGATTCGGTCTATCAACGCACAATGTAATGCTGTATATCCAAAAATCTGTTTCAGAAAATGCTCACATTTCAGTTCTAGGGGTGGAAAAAAATTTTCCCCAGACCCCCCTTACTAGTACATACGATATACCACACCAAACCTTTTGTCACCAACAACCATCTGTCATCTCTTCACACTCAATATAGATTGGTCCCTTTTTGTAGATGCCCACCCCCCAGACAAGTTCTTAAAAAAAACCTGTGTTCAAATAATTTCACTGTATGAAGACGGGTCATGGGTTAGTCAAATGGTGCATTGCAAAGTAGTAACACATAATATATATTTTTTAATCATATATTGTTGAATCATTAATTCACCAGCTGGGTAAAACATCATGAGCTAGATTAAACAGATTGTCTAATATCTAACTTTACCTGCAACACACACCTAAGTGTTTCATTGCTGTTAATTTTTCAATCCACACAAAAAGTTTGCCTTCAGTCTACCAGGTCAAAAATGGCGCAATCCTTATTTTCCCCATTTCCGCCCCATAAATAATGACCACTCCCTTACTGTGCAACGTCCTTATATAAAGAGTAAAGTTCATATTTCTTCTCTGCGCGTGAATTTGCCAAAACTGAAATGCGTGGGTAACGGCGTGTCGGACGTATTAAATGTTGTGATGAATGATCCATTGGCACGCTATTTGAGTACTTTGAGAGAATTGTTTCTGAATCCTCATAACATTTCTTTCTGTGACTGCCAATTCTAATATGATACCCTGAAGCATTTCTTTTCTTGTCTTTCTCTTTTTCTTTACTGGCGCCTCAGACATTTTTGCTAAATTTTATACCAGTTTATGTACAATACGACTATCATGACACGCATCAACATCTGCAAGAACACAATATCCGCATATGCAAGGAATGCAGTAAAACAGCTGTCATGTAAAATTTATTGATTATAGATCTGATAAAGGTTTGGCTGAAATCCGAGTCTTTCGATCACATGTTTGTAATCTCCCTCACTGATTGGTCGATGTTATTCGGTGTCCAATTTTGGCAGTCGAATTGATTTTTTTTTGCTGTCGAAAAGGCCTGAAAGGGCCTGAAGCCTCGCTCCCCTGCAGTTTAAATTCACTTTAAGTGGCAATGCAGTGAATGCACCCTGATACACCCTACTTTGTTATGCTACTCTGTCTAATGCCTGACAATTTTACTCGTCAAAGGAAGATTGAGAGTGCTGCCACTCAATGGGTTAATGAATATTCCATTGAGGCATTAAGGGGGAGGGGGTTGGGCTCAGACACTTTTAGGGGCTGATTGTACATGGTGCCGGGCTGGCCCGGTTAACCGGACTGACACGTTTGTTTAGGACCTTAAGCCCTGTTTACACGAGCAAACTTTATTTGACAAATTTCATATGTCAAAGATATTTTGCTCATGTAGATGATAAATTTGTGACAAATTTATTGTGACAAATGCATTTGAACAAAAGCTAGCATGCTAGCTTTTGATCAAATGTATTTGATCAAATGAAATTTGTCAAATAAAATTTGCTCGTAACTTTGAGCAACTTCGACCATCGACGTCCCTGGTTGCATATATAGTGTAGGTGCTTTTGTGCTTACTGTATACAAACTAAGCCAATATCCTGAATGCCAAACTGTACCAAAGAATTTTGATATTTTATCAGTAATTCACATATGGTGAGAAAATTGCTTTAATTGAGCAATCTCTATCCCATATTCCAGTCCATATACCCACTCCATATATAGATACATTCAAGAAAAACAAACAAATCAATGCTTTATTGCTATCCGCCTGCAAAGAAAATGAAATAACTCAATTTTAAATTTAGAATAAGTTTATACCTCTTTTGAGATTGAATCAACCAAATGCACGTCCAAGAACTGCTCGCATCTAAAACCTGTATTAATAGATTAAATTAAAGCTGTTTATTTCCATTAGCCATTAGGCGGAACGCGTACGTCTTTATATAAAACTAATACAGAAGTACGTACAATAATTAATAAAATATATACATGCAGAGTAAATATTCATTATTTGCCAACAAAGCGATATTTTGAATGCATTCCAGCGCGAATGACGTTATTACTAACCTTAATAATGTATTGTCAGTACTAAACACTTCGTAAAATTATCGAAAATACAGACCTGTGTTGAATGAAAGCCCAAGCTGATAGCGAAGCCCATTGAAGCTCTTCTGGTCGACCTGCAATAAAACAACCTCGAAAACAACAACAAATTTATGCCCGGGGCGCGCACGTGTCCGTAATTCAATTCAAGTGCTAAAAATACTTTATGAAATGTACAAATATTTTGAGATACTTTATAGCTTACCTGTTTTAGAAAATCTGTGAATCTGGCTGTCTCCACGGTGACAAGGTTATCTTGTGTGTCATACAAAGCGACAACGAAGGAAAAGAAGTTACTTTTGCGTACGGTCGAGGGTGGCTGTCTTTCGAATTCAATCCGTGCTAGTCGCTTGGGGCTAAAAATGAGGTTAAAAATTATCGTCTGCGTATGACATGAACAAAAACGATGGAAAGTTATTTATATCCCAAAGGAGCAAAACGAATTCAAACCACATGGGATATCCTCAGAGACCCACGTGTTTTAACATTTTGCGAATTAGAACTCTTTTAAAACAATTATACGCACCTGTTCATAGTACTATGTACAACTTCCTTTGCCCAGTTGCTGGGAAAATGTTCTTCACTGCTCAACAGTTGTTTGTTTATCGGTTCTTGCATTCCAACAGGCAAGGATATTTGAATAAAATTGTTCGTTAATTTTCCTGTGTGGTTTTTCTGTCTTGTCTCATACAGGTACCAGGATAGAAATTAATTATACCGACCGCCTTGACGTGTCCTGAGACTTGTTCATCTGATTTTAAACCTCAAGAGTGTTGCTGAAATGGATAGCTTACACGAATAACTATTCTTGTGTATTCCCTTATGGGACACTATTTATTGCTTGTTGATCGCTGAGCACCGTTCTGGATATTACAGACAACAAAACGACATAGTTAATGAATCCTTAATGTCCTATTAATGTTCTATAATGACTCATAATGATACCATCGAATGTTCTAGCTAATTAAATTCCTACATGAGTGATGGAAGCGGACGGATAAAAGGCGGACCGCGGATGGCGGACGGCGGAGCATTTTATAAACACATGATTACTACCGCAACTAATTATAATACCCTAAATTAAAGTATACCAGCCTTAGATCTGTGAAATGAATATGTTTTCATCTGTTTGAATTTTTAGCAATGGAATTTAATTTAATCAGCATTCAATACATATGTATGATAGGAGGCTATTTGTCGACTTTCGCGTGAAACGTTTGGAATTATTGCAAAAAGCGCCTTAGTTTTGGTGCTTCTATATATAACTGCCCTAACACTGCCATTGCCACTGGCTATTACATGACATTCACTTGCTGTCATTTTCATACTTTAAATTGTGCTCAGACTTGTTTTTTTATAATCAGAAATTAATCCCCGTTTTACTTACTAAAAGGCTAAACACGTAGCCAAGATCGATTCATGTGAGTACTTACACATTACTATTCCACGCCGTCCGCCGTCCGCCGTCCGTCCGCCTTTAAATCTACATCCGGCTAATACATTCCTTTAAAAATTTTTTGAGTTTATATGAGAGGAGGGCCATCCCTACTAGACGAGATCTGTCAAAAAAAAAAAAAGAAAAAGTCGTCAAATTGATTTCAAACTAAACTTTTTTAAAGCTTTTTTCGCTTTAAAAATGTAGTTCTAAACGAATATTCAAATTCGATTGGTTTTTATTCCAAAATTTAGTCGGCTGCAAACTATGATTTTGGACGCCATAATAAAAATGAGTTGCACGGAAGCCATTAAGTGCAACTTGCGAAAGGATGCATATGTGATATGGCTCGCTAGCAGTAGCAGGGCTGATTTTTCTCATGTAAACACGCGGTGAAAATCAGCCCTACTGCTAGGTCAGCTAGGGCTAGCCCTTCATAGGGCCCATATAAACACCCTCCTAGTAAGTTGACCAGTTCAACGAAGTAATTTTCAAGAAATACGTTGTGTAAGTCGAGAATTGAAAATCAAAGTTAAAGTTTATGTAAATCAATCTATATCACATATAAAGATACGACACGCTTATGATATTTCATTGCGTTTTCGTTACTAAAACATGGAACGACCACAACGACTCCACAACCACCACACCGACCCCACAAAGAGCCACAACCGGCCACAACAATCCAACAACAACCCGCAAGGAGATACACATCCTGTATCTATGGAAATACAACGAGGCAACAATGAACCCACAACGATCCACAAACAAAAATTTATATTATTTATCGTCACGCAACTGAGGGTCATTTTTGGACCGTTGTGGCTCATTATGAGGTCGTTGTGGCAGGTTGTGGGTCGTCGTGGCTCGTTCTATGTTCTAGTAACTAGTATACGTATTACGTATAGTTCAGTGGTTTATGGGTTGTTTTGGGTTGTTCTGGCCAGGATCGTTGTCAACGTTGTGTCTCGTTCTGGATCGTTGTGGGATCATTGGTGCCTCGTTGTGTCTCCTTGTGGATTGTTGTTGGATTGTTGTGGATTGTTGTGGATCGTTGTGAGTCGTTGTGGCTTGTTGTGGATCGTTGTGGCTCGTTGTGAGGTCGTTGTGGATCGTTAAGGCTCGCTATGGATCGTTGTGGCTCGTTCCATGTTTTAGTAACTATTAATGAGTTTTTGAAGTACTATTTAAAACACGCGTAAGAGTACTGTTTTATCATATCTTCAAACACGACTACAATAGATGCCAAATAGGATGGACTTTTCAATGTAAAGAATACTAATGAAGATCGATGATTTTTATCAGGTATAAAGCCTCTTCACGTGACATATTATCACAGATATTATAGTTGACATGATTTGCCAATAAGCTTATGAATTATTAATGAGTGTTTGAAATACAGGACCGTAGACAGTTTCTGAGGGAAGTAATGTCTGTAAAGTTTGAGAGGGAATAATAATCTAATAATCACCCCCGACTAATCAGCCCTCAATATAAAATTGCTTCCTACGGTAGTCAATATACATATATACCATATCCACAACGTAACGTTCTCTTGTATGTCCAAAGTTAAAGTTTATGTAATATATATAGTTTATGTAATATATATAATCAATTTTGGTTACTTAAAATATAGTCACAACACCGAGTTTCACGCTCAATGCGATCCTCAGGCGACGATGTTTAGTCTCGATAAAAATATTCCTGTATGATTACATGATGTTTGGAGTTGTGACTAAATTTTAAGTAAACAAAATTAATTATTTGCTCTACGTTAATAAGTGGTATTGCATGAGCACTCTTTCTACACTGTAATATATTATATATCTACTCACCGGGCACACGACGTTGTTTCAACGTTGAAATTTGGTAGAAAAAAGGTTGCGACGTCGACAACCTAATATCGACGTTGCTCTGACGTTGTTTTACAAACATTGGTTCAACAGCAGCCAACAGACGTTGAATTAACGTTCATTCATGGTTAAATGTACGACGTCGATTTGTAGACCAATCTCAACGTTGTTTTAACGTGGATTCAACGTTGAATTATGGTTGACGAGATTGGCAACCTAATTTCAACGTTGTTTCAACGTCGAAACAGTAACGTCGATCCAATTTGCATAGTCAACCCTTTTTCAACGTCTATCCAACGTCTGGAAGGTCATTTCCAACGTTGATTCAACGTTGGATAAACGTCATTTTGCCCGCTGGGTATATACAGGGTGTATAAAAAAAAGGAGACCTTTAGAAATCAACAAGCATATTGTTAAAATGTGAATGCCTTTTCAATTGCACATATGCTGAACCGTGGTGCGTGAAAAAGTGCTTATATTAGAAAAAGAAGACCTTTAGAAATCAACCATTGTTATAATTTGAATACTGGAGCACTTTGCTAAGCCCACGAGTGCGTAACATGCGATCTACGTACAGTATGCATTGCAGATTGTTTCCAGGAGCAGACAATCTTTTGTTTAAACGTTATTTCAATTTCTAAAGGTCTCCTTTTTCTAATATATGCACCCCATCAATATTTCACGCACTACGGTTCAGCATATGTGCAATAGAAAAGGCATTCAAATTTTAACAATGTGGTTGATTTTTAAAGCGGGCCTCCTTTTTTTATACACCCTGTATATATGTACTATTTAAAACACAAGCAGGAGTGCTTTATCAGATATAAAACTCGAGGCGACAGCCGAGAGTTTTAACTTTTATATCAGTCTGGTAAAGCACGGACTGCGAGACAGTGTTTTAAATGGCTTAAAAAACGACCCATCTTATGAGTTTATTAGCCAAGTAATTTTACGTTTTTTTATTTGACGTTGACTAAGTCGAGAAAATCAAAGCTGAAGTTAACATGATTTTTTATCAGATATAAAACTACCGACATGCTAGTGATTTCCTTTGTCTTTTCTTTATGAATTATTATACACCATGAGTATATACACCATGAAGATATATTAATTTTCAATTGTTCAATTGGCCGAAATAAACTCGTTGCTTAATGAATGCATGTGTATGACTGTACAGTACTGATGTACTTCATTGTACTGTTACGGCATAACATCAAGAAAATACGCAACAACATCGAGAAAAGCGCTCCGTCCGGAACTGCGAGATGTCTTACCAAAGATGGGAAATTCATATTGTGGTGACACTGGAAAGACTAGCATATATTTGGGACCAGAGATATAATTCCACGGCATTGTCATCAGTGAACACTTGAAGGAGGACCACTTTGAACTGACGGCAAGCTTATTAAGAATGAGAAATGGAATGATAAAAGAATGATAAAACAAGAATGATAAAACACTGCTCGTGCTCATGTTTTAAATAGTACATACAATACTTGTTTTATACATTTATAGCATCACACCTTCCTTGCATTGAAAATACTCAAATTTCGATCAAGAAAAACGCCCTAAAATTGTCAATATTTCATGCAAAAAAATGTTGTTTTGAGAAACGTTGGAAATTTTTAAGTTTATATATTAATAAAAAAACATATGTCAGCAGAAGATGAATATGTCAGCAGCGGAAGCATCGCCAATAGCCGACCGTAGAAAATAGTAGAAAATTACCTTTAAATATATGTGTGACTATACAAGAACAAAATATCGATAACTATGTGTGACGTTTCTAAGGAGGGCGGGTCTCCACAAAATCGATATGTGAGGCTTCCCTAAAACATATACAGTCTGAGTGCAAAGCAGTATAAGACCCTACATTACATGCAGTGCATGCATGTGTACTGTGTCCGAATAAAATAAATGGAACTTGAATTCCGTAAATTAGATATATTTTTCTATATCGAACGAAGAAGCATTGATTAATAATTAAAAGGTCATAAGATATAACTGACATACGATCTCCACCTCCTCATCTGGTCAAGTGAGTTATTACGCGTCGAGTTTTGTCCCAAAATGTTGTGGTAAAAACAAATCACATAGTGTTTACATATTGGCATATATTCTTGTTGCGAAAAAGATCTTTGGAAAATTAAGCTTGAAATGCGTACGGACAGAACAATTTGTGCTGTTTTAACGTCGGGATATATGTATAGATTATGAATGGATTTAATAGAGGCCATATTTTAGCAAAGCAACTGATGAGTATCGGTCCACGAGGAAATTTAGGTGGTGGACTTGTACAGGACTTGACCTAAATTTCCAAGTCCAGAGGT